TCTCTTGCTGGAGTAACTCGTTTGACCGTCTCTATTGTCGTCATCATGTTCGAACTCACTGGCGCCCTCACTTATGTTCTCCCCATTATGATCGCTGTCATGATATCAAAGTGGGTAGGCGATGCTTTCTCTCGTCGCGGTATCTATGAGTCGTGGATTCACTTCAATGAGTATCCTTTCCTCGACAATAGTGAGAACAACGAATCTATTCCTGACATCCCGGCTTCTCAAGTCATGACTCGCATCGAGGACCTTGTAGTACTCACTGCCACAGGTCACACTATCGCATCTCTCACCACTATCCTCGAGATGCACCCATACCGTGGTTTCCCCGTCATATCAGATCCCCGAGAAGCCATTCTTCTTGGCTATATCTCTCGTGCCGAGCTGGCATACAATCTCTCAGCCTCAACACAAGCACCTCGCTTGCTGCCCCTTGAGACTGAGGCCTTCTTTTCTCACCAGCCCATGGCAGATCCACGCACAACCCTGGATCTTCGCCCCTGGATGGACCAAACACCGCTTACCCGGGCCTCACATACAAGTCTTCACCTTGTCGCTACATATTTCCAAAAGCTCGGCCTGAGATATCTTCTCTTCAGCGATCGCGGTGTTCTACAGGGCTTGTTGACGAAGAAGGACGTCTGGTATGTCCTCAATGGTGCCGAAGAGACACGCCGCACCATGGGTCTGGCACCCGGCGGTGCTGGTCATGAGACGGGCGTGACCGACAGGATACCAGACGACAATGGCGGCGGTGAAACTAGTGGATTATTACATGGCGATGGTGCCGATGATGGGGATAGCATACAAGGGGAGGAACCAATGTTATAAAAGGAGTTATTATAGAATTGATGCTGGATTATGTATGATTGGTCGTGGGTATATTAGTTTTGATCATCTAGACGAGTTTGCTGTTCTTAACGGGCTATCAATATATATGTACAATTTAACGCCTCATCCAAAGCCATCCTAAAATATACCAAACCTCCTGTTTCAATTACCTGAGTAAACTATTCTATGCCATCCTGCTTTTCAGGTTTTGTCATAAGAATCTGCCTCTTTCTTGTAATGATATATGGCAAGGGGAGGTAAGAGACCTTGAGATCTCTATTCTAAATAACAAAAATATTTAGGTAAAATTAATATAGAATTATTAGACCTTTAGATTACTTATTTTTAGCACCTAAGCTTAGGGTCAGAAGTTTTCTTGCTCCCTGAGGCGTGGCAAAGATCAATTTAACCCGCCAGGAGTGTTCCCCTATTTGCAACGCAAAAAGATTGTCAAGATCTGCACGCCAGGAAACAACAGGGTAGAATTTGATTTGAGCATTCATCATTAAATCGCTTAAATTATCATGAAGTAATAGTCGGGTCAAGATGGCCCCTAATTTTTCTTTGAGCGTGCAACTCCCATGCTTGATTGAAATCCTGATATGATATGAGCCCAACGGCCGGAGCAGCAACTTACCAACCAATGCATGTTCTTCTCCGAGAAAGCAAAGGAAAACAACACTAATTCTAATACTCAAAGTCGTCATCAACGGACGGGCCCTTGTTCTTTGTCACGCTCTCCTGCTTGCGGTACATTTCAGCAACCTGGCGACTTGTCGTGGCAGCATCAGCCTTCTTATCATCACGCACACGGATGAAGCGAGGGAATCGAAGACTGATACCCTTGTTTCCTGATGGGTCGACACCTTCCTTAGCACCGGCCTTGTAACGTGGACTGAGGGTCAAATCGGCTGTCTTGACCTCCCAGACATATCGAGGCTCAAACCAGACATCAGGTTGGTGTTGACCACCAGAAGAGTGTGAGTAAAAGGGCTTAGGCCGATCAATGGTAATCTCAGAGAGTTGAGTATGAAGATCTTCCAAGACCTGCTCCGAGAAACCAGTTCCAATATTGCAAACAGTTTCGTATGTCTCTGAGCTGGGATTGTAACAGGCCAGAAGGAATGCACCGTAAACAGATGTACGCTTGCCTTTGCCGTAGTATGCGCCCAAAACAACAAGGTCCAGAGAATCACCGACGCCTGAGAGGTAATCCTTCTTGATCTATGATAGCAGTCAGTCATACAGATCTCAGTAATGAAGTTTCGGATTCTTACCTTGAGCCAGTTACGACTTCGCTTACTGGGCTCATATCCACTCTCAGTCCCATCCAACATTTTTACCATGAGACCCTCGCATGATGCCTTGACACTTTCGTCAAGGAAAACCTGGATCTCATCCAGTTCCTGGCCGTTCATGTGGGTAGCGAAGGAAAACTCGCCTTCCACGGGATTAAACGCGGCTTGGAGAAGCTCACGTCGTTCACGCAGTGCCTTCTCGACAACAGCTTCTCCGTTGAGGTACAACAGATCAAATGCAAATACGCAAACCTTGACCTTGACATCCTCGACCTTTACGTCCTTCTTCTTGCGTGTCATGAGTTGCTGGAAGGGTAACACTTTCTTCTCATCAACATCCCAGGCCACTGTCTCACAATCCAGGACAAAGCTCTTGGTGTCCGGCTTGACCCAGCTATGGAGTTTGGCAAGAATATCGGGATACTTCCTGGAGAGGTCTTCGGAGTTTCTGGAGAAGATGCTAGCAACACCAGCACCAGCCTCCTTAGCGGCGCCTTGACTCGCTTCGTTCAGTTCTTGAGGCGCATCTTTTGCCACATAATGGATCTGTGCTCTTTCGCCATCATACTTATACTCACAGGTGAAGGTCTGTCCCTCAAAGCGATCAAGTACTTCGGTAATGGCCTTGGTTGGCTTGGCCAACATAGGCTTCAGGGGTACACCGGGTCGGAGCTTGCAGTTTTCCCGAAGCTTCATGATGCCATGTTCTAGCATTGCAGGAATAATCACATCGTAGCTCGGAAGCTCGCTGTGTTTTGTAAGTATGGATCATCAACAGGGGTTCACGTGGCTTACCTGTAGACCGTCTTGAGAATGGATTCACCCTTTTCCAGATCCGAGGTGCTAGGGACCTTGCCCTTGGCATCTGCTTCATGAGCAACGATAGCTTGCGCCAAAGAAACAAGAACGGTTCTCTCAGCCAGACCAAGTCTCAGCTTTCCTTCCAGAAATCGAATGATAAACTTGGCTTCACTCGGGCCTCCCTTGTCCTTGTTGATGTCGACTTTGCCAGTGGAGTTGGCATCAGCTGCAGCAAGAAGCTTCTTGATACCATCCACCTTGCGCCCCTGAGCACCGTTGCCGGTGACAGTAGCAATGTTCATTAGGCCTTGGTGCACACCCCTGATAGTCAAAGCCTTGGGCTTGAACATAGTCCGCTGGGTTGATCGACTCTTTACAGCCACCAGTCCGAGATCACCAATTTCTTTCTGATCAGCCTTGATCACTTGGAGACTTCGCCCGGTCGTCTCGCCGATAGCCTTCATAATTAAAGACTCGCCAATACCAAGCTCGATACCAGCGTAGTCAGGAGCCAATTTGTTGATCATTAATAAGACGGTAGGTAATAGATCCTCAGGGGTCAGGCGCATGACCTGGCGAAGGAACAGAGAGCAATGCTCCATGATAATCAATCTTTTGGTGGTCATTTCCACGAGAGAGAACGTTGTACACAGGGCCGCATACGGAACAGGAGTGCCGGGCTTCCAGTCAGGATAGGGGTCTTTCGTCTTGGACTTGAACTTTGTCTGGACCTTCTCGCGGGCCTTGGCAGCAACTTCAGGCTTATCTTCGACATCAGCCTCGTCGTCAAGTTCGGCTTCTGAAGCTGAAGCTGTCGAAGCCTCCTCTTTGGCAGACTCGTCGTTCTCCTCAGGGGTGGGTTCTTTGGCCGCCTTGGCTTTAGGGGGTGCCTTTGACTTCTTGGGCGACTTGGCTTTCGAAGGCGGACTCGAGGCCTTTGGCTTCTTGGAGGATGCTGGCTTCTCTTTTTCAACAGGTTCGTCAATCATCTCATCGTCATCATCTTCCTCAACTCGTTTTCGACTTCGTCGTGCTCGCTTGGTAACAGGTCCATCGCTATCGTCATCGACTTCTTCTTTCTTAATGGGTGTTGGTTCGGGCTTGGCCTTGTCTTCTGATCTTGCTCGCTTCTTTGTTTCTGCTCCAGAATTAGAACATGGTAGGTTTCCATCGAAGTAGCAAATTACCTTTCTCAGAATCTGAGCTTGATTTGGCCTTGACGTCGACCTCCTCTTCGTCCTTCACCTCTTCCTTCTTGGGTTTGCTGCTAAAGGAGAGCTTTGTCTGTTGAGGAGGCTCACCTTTTGCCCCAAAGAACTTCCTATAATTACCAATTGGCCTTGGTCAGCGATCGAGTCTTTAATTTCTAGTTGTCCCTCCACACACCCGATTGTGCTCTGTCCGGACTTCACATACCCGAGAGTCGCCTGTTTTGGTGCCATGATGCCTGAAATTCGTGTCGAAAATAAACGTAACGAACACAAGGAACAACAATTTACAGGTCGTGATAATAATCTGGAGGTGTTTTGTAGAAAGAGAGGGGCAATTGTGAGCCCGCGAGTTGAGCTGACACTGAGTAGCATGACGCGCCGACTAGGCAACTTGTCGCGTTAATTAGCTGCCATTCGCGACGGTGGGTGCGACCAGAACGCGCGAGATGCCTGTTCCACGTGACTCGGTTGCCTAGTAAGGCAGGACGTGCACCCGGCTATTTCCATGTTAGGTAAGGCGTCGATCAAATTTATTAGCGCACCTTAATTAATTGTTAGAGGGGCGCCTGCAAGCTCTTGTCGTCTCGGGGGAGATAGGCCGAGATGGCTCGCCAAATATCATGATATTGGGTGATTTCTTTCGTTATTGATTCTAACTTTGAGAAAGACATTGATATAAACCCGCATTAAGACAAAGAGACATCCATGAGTAACACGAAAAAAGCAATCCTGGGTCCTCGCCCTTCTCCATTTTCGGACCATGCCAGGCCTCTTTCTAGATAGATCATGGATGTATATTACAGCAAGCAACAAGTGCTCAAATCATTATGGTGGTACGGTTTCACGCCCAATTCCTCTACTGGAAGTAGTGGTTCTCCTCGGGAATACGGCCACGGATGTACTCGGGCTCAGATCCCCGGACGTAGATATCCTCAAACAGAATCTCAGGCTTGGGCTCAGGCACGGCCATGGCCTCAGCAGCAGCAACCTCCTCGTTGACGTGGGCACGAGCCTCCTTGTCAATCTTCTTGAGCTCCTCCTCACTTGTGATCTCCCAGTCCAGAATCTTCTGCTTGAGTCCAGCAATAGGATCGTTGGTGGATCGCATGCGCTGAATCTCCTCACGGGTTCGGTAGGTGGTACCGGGATCAGACATGGAGTGACCACCATATCGGTAGGTGACGTACTCGAGGACGAGAGGTCCCTTGTCGGCAGCAGTCCACTCCTTACCGTACTTGACGGCGGCCTTGACGGCAAGAACATCCATACCGTTGACCTTAAGACCAGGGATGTACTGACCACGCTTGTAGTAGTCGGTCAAAGCGGAAGAACGAGCAGCAGCGGTACCCATACCGTACTTGTTATCTGTGGATTTGTCAGTGGTGCTCTGGCTCGTTCTTATAATGTTGACTTACTCTCGCAGCCAAAGAGGGCAGGGAGGTTCCAGAGCTTGGCCATGTTGAAAGCCTCAAAGACCTGGCCCTGGTTGCTGGCACCATCACCGTAGAGGATGATAGAAGCGTTCTTGTTGCCATTGTACTTGTGAGCAAAGGCAAGGCCAGCACCGACGGGAACCTGAGCACCGACGATACCGTTACCGCCGTAGAAGCTCTTGGCGAACATGTGCATGGAACCGCCCTTTCCGTAGGAGATACCCTCACGTCGGCCAAGCAGCTCACCAATGATGGATCGAACGGAAGCACCACGCATCAGAGCGTAACCGTGGCATCGGTAAGCGGTGATAATGTCGTCCTCCTTGGTGATGGCGTGCTCAATACCAACGGCAACAGCCTCCTGTCCGGTAGACAAGTGGCAGAAACCTCGAATCTTCTTCTCCTTGTACAGACGATCGGCCGCCATCTCCATCTGTCTGCGGGATTATCAGTAAATGTCGTGTTGGGATCGTAAGAAATGGCGTTGCATACCGGGTGATGACCATCTCGCGGTACATATCCTTCAGCTCCTTCTTGGTCACCTCCAGGGTGTAAGGAGGGGGGTCCAGCTCGTAAGTCTCGAAGCTCTCATCGCTGAGGTTAACAGAGAAAGGCTCATCATCGGACTGTGGCAGCCCAAGAGTCAGTGATGATTTGTAGGCGCATTGCGGAGGGCGAAGTGTCGGGTGAGGGTATTCCGAAGGACCCTTGCGGGACGGAAAGTGCGCATTTTCTCACCTTGGGGACTGAGTGACTCAGGGACGCCGAAGCAGCATCGGTAGTGACAGAGCGAATGGCAGTGTAAGCGGGAGCGGCGAGCTTGGTGCGCATAGGCACAGCCCTGGGGAGTCGGAGAGCTCGAGACAACATCGTGGATATGGAGAAATGAATTGAGGGATCAGGACGTTGTCGAGTTGATAACTGCGACTTGGCTGAATGGAGCTCAGAAAAAGTCGCTGTTGAGCGGCAGAGCGTTGAGCTTGGCCTCCAATTGTTGGTAGGTCTAGACCTTGATAGGCTTAGCGGCCACGTGATATATACATGTTTGAGTTCCTTTTGATTATCTCCAGACAGTCCAATTGAGGAGATAATCTTCTCCGAGGAAAAGTGTATATTGACAAAGTCTGTAAAAAGCCCCTGGATGTCCTCCGATCATCAAAAACCACCTCTTGATCATCTTTCTGTTCCATACAAGACCGTCCAAGTGACACACCACTTCGTCGGTGTAATTCTCGCCGATGTGGGCCTATATCCACATCGTCCCTTTTACCTCCGAGCCACGACAATTAGTTTTGCTGGTAGAGGTCGGAAGTCCCTTACTCTCAGTCCCTGGAAATATTCGGGCTCAACGATTTTACCTCACAGGAGTGATAACATGACCCATGATACGGGCTTATAGCTCACAGTTAATTCCGAATTAAAAAGGCAAAGAATTGCCAAGTCCTATTGGGAACCCAACATTATTGGGCCAACTTCTAATCCCTCTATACACAGGCTACCGATGTGGTATTATGATGAAGATAACGATCAATATCAAAGACCAGAACGCTAACATTGGCTTCTGATATAGTCCGGTCCGCCTTCAGATGCAACTCCGTATTCCATTCCCGTAGCTCCAGTTTCCCATAACCCCTTGATTCATGCTATCGTACTCCCATGCAAATTCGCATGATCATCCATCCATAGGTAACTAACATATTCTGTGAACTGGTGGTGATGCATCAACGCCCATAACATGCTTTCAAAAACCCTTGGCGCCTCTACAACAATTTGAAGAAAGAATATAGTGCAATGCAGTGCGGATGACCGGATCCGTCTTCGATACTAAATGTTGAATCCACAAAATCGTGCACGCTTGAAATGCTGGTGCTCGCCGATGTCATATCACGATGGTTGACGCAAGACCATCGTTGAGTTCACCGACCTGCCAGCTCAGTCGTCATGAAAGAACGTACCGCCCTGCAAAGGGGCAGTTGAAGGACCAGCGTCGTTCATCTCGACATCCTGGGTTGAAACGTCTCGGCTGGAACTGGCCAAAGTCTGTTGTGAAGTGCGATAGTCGATAGCCATGGCGCTCAATGGACGATTCGGGTCATCCTCCAGTACCCGCTGTTGAAGCGAGAGTGGGCGGTCATAGAGCATCTCTTCGGGTGGTGAGAACGACCACACCTATTAAAGTCAGTCTTGAGCTTGAATGGCCCTTGTCCAATCCCAACTTACCTCCATGACTGTACGGCCGTGTCTCAAGGCCAAAGCAACACACTTTTCATCTTCAAACGCAACACGCCAGACAGCTTCACCTTGCGCGATGAGTTCACGAACGAGGTGCCCAGTTTTGAGGTCCCAGATCTTAACTCGGCCATCACTGCCGCCACTCACGACTCGAGTATCATCAAATTGCAGACTGGTGACACTGTTATCGTGAGCTGCAAGACGATGGATTGGACACATTTCTTTCAGAGACCAAACTCTAACCGATCCATCTGATCCACCAGTAACTAAGGTGTCACCGCGCATCTGAAGCTGTCCAACAAGAGACGTGTGACCCTGGAGAATAGCCAGGCACTCACTTCGGATAGTTAGTAGCTATCATTTGTAGTTTGTAGAGACACATACCCAGAAGTCGGATCCCAAATTCTCACGTTGGTATCCAGGCTGCCCGTCACGACTCGCTTACCATCAAACGCAATGGCATAGATTTGACTAAAATGGCCCTGTAACGTTTGAAGACAACGGCCTTCGGAAATGCTCCAGACTCGAGCGAAAGTATCGTAGCTACCGGATACGACAATGTCACCCTTGATCTCGAGACATCGAACGCTGGACTGATGACCAACGAGAACGTTTTTGCAGAGGCCGGTTCGGATATCCCAGATTCTTAGGGTGGTATCCCGAGATCCCGAAATCGCTGTATTTGCATCTGCCATTTTCAAGCACCTAACGGTCGATGTGTGGCCTCGTAAGGTGTGTAAACAGGCACTATATTCTGTCAGCAAATGATCGAGACTGCTTATGGCTTTCAACTTACCCAGTCTTGAGGTTCCATACTCTCACGTCACGATCACAGCCTCCACTGACCAGAGTATCATCCCAGGGAACCATGGCCCAGACACCCATAACATGTCCCTGCAGGGTGCGTTGCGAGTCTCCCTCAGTATCGAACACATGAATCTTGGCATTATCAAGTGCCACAATGATGTACTTGGGCGTCAGATGCAGGCTTGTAACAACGCCACCCTCTTGGGTAATATTCCGTGTTGTGCTAGTACCGCCAGATCGCCAGGCAGCTTCGACTAAATATCTCTGCTTGAAGTGGGACTTGTAGGTCCGTAACCTGGGTCGACCAGAGGTATTCGAGCCGTCGAACGATCGGGTACCTGAGGTATAAGAGTAAGGGCGCGCGCCTGGGAAGCTGCTGCTGCTGGTCATGTCGGCATCGAACCCATGCAAAGCCTGTACTGATGGTCTCGAGGAGAAATTAGGTGCATGTGTGTAGACTTCTGATAGTCGGCGGCCGTAGTCGTGTTTGACACAAAGATTCTTCCACGTCATGTCGTCGCTGAGGAGATCTCGCCATCGTTTAGATACTTGCGAGGCTCGTGCTAAAACTTTTGGATCATCGATGAAAGATAATATCTATACATGTGAGTAAGCCTACCGGATCTAGGGAAAACAATGATATAAGGATGTTCCTTACCCGAAGACACAGTTCATCCGGCAGACTTGTAAAGGGGTCCTTTTTCAGTAAAGGGCTGACAAATTGGTGAACGAAACTCAATTGCTGGCTGGTACAGAGGTTCAGCAGATCGGCGAGGACTCGAGTCCTCTGAGGACCGGAACAGTTTTTGAAGTGTTGCCGGACTTTGGCAAGAAAGAAGTCTTCGTCATCAGCAGCATCACTCCAATCTGGTTGGAAATGCGATGGTCCCGGAGACGCAGCGGGTGTGGGAGGCGGTGGAGGTGAGCCGGTGAGTTGTTGATCAAAGTCTGCGGCGGGTGTAGACATGCTGGGAGTAGGAGGTCCACGCAAGTGCCGTTGCTGCTGAGGCAGCTTTTCCAAGCGGTGGTTTATCATGGGGTTCGTGGATGTGCTGAGGGTCAAGTCGTCACTGAGGGCGCTTCCTCGCCTTTCTGAAAAACTCATGGGTCGTTGGTAACCGGCCATGACCCGGTCGTCGCCCTCCAAGATATCGGTGTGGATTGGAATATAGATTTTGAGGCGGTTTGTGAGGACTATCAACAACTTGATGGAGGAGGATTACTTGAATTGCAACGGCTAATGGCGAGGGGATGTCGAAGATGGATCGTGGGTGGGGAAACAGAAAGCGAGCCGTACGAGGCCTCTGCCAACAATTCGAGGAGGATGTCAGCACATGTAGAATAGAGCGTATCACTTATAATCGCGCAAAAACTCGGAATAAGAATGTTGTGTTGGCGTCGAACAGAATTAGGAGCAGATATTGAAAAAGGAAAAGGGTGCAGAAACCAGAAACCAACGGTGAATGGCGATAGTCACTAGAGGATGAGATAGTGGAGAGAGCCGACGGGCAGGCGGTACGGTATCGGTACACGTCCAGGGACGGGAACGCCTGTGTTCGTTTCGTTCTAGGATGACAATCTTGGCTCGTAGAATGAGCCTGGGACTGGCTGATGACCTGGCGCGTGGGTCGGGTGCAGGCCAAGGACGATGGCGGGATCGTAGAGGCGCTAAACGGCATTCGTTACAGTACAGTTCAGGGCCTTGTTGTAGCGGTTCCCTTGCCTCGTAGGTTGGTGCCACTGCAGCTTCTTCCGTCTGGGTGTCTTTTTCGAAATGGTTATGTCGGCTGTCGCCGTGACCGGCACAAGGATATCTCCTGGGTTGAGCTGGCAAGGCCGGGTATGGAAGTTTGTGTCGAGAAAGGTATGCACAATGAGAGTGCGAGATTGTCTTACCGAGGATACGGAATGAATCGTATAATGGGTTTGTCCGTCTTTGTAAGGCAAGACGAGATGACCGACTCGATTTTGAGGCGTCGAGGAGGTGAATCAATCTGATGACCAGATGCAGCAGATGCAGAAGTGGAGGCGATTCAAAGGAAGTGAAAATTGGCTGAATAAGGGACGATCAATTGAGAGACGAAGCACACGATAGAACGAAGTAGTTTTAAAGCCCAAGACGGTCCGTGAATGAAAACGGAACCAGTTCAAATTTTGTTCCTTTTTCTGGCGTGGTTGAATGGTTTGACAGTGATGAATTTTACAGTACAAGCAGCATCTAACAATATCAGACAGCAGCATACAGAGTAGAAGTGGTAGGTCGTAGGAGCCAAGCACTTCAAGCCTGCTCTTTTCATTGCTTTTTCCTCCTTCAGCTCATTTAATGATTCAATGCAGGGACGTTCCAGTCACATTCCCGCCATTGGAATAAATTTCGCTTCATTAATAACGTACATTCTTTAATCTTGTTCTCAACCCGCAAACGGTTCAACTCAATTCATTGAGAAATTGACTTCGAAACATGAGATGCCAGACCTGTTTCAAACAGTGAAACGGATCCTAGTCTGGTCGTTTTTTAGTTCCCCTGCTCTCCCTCCGTCAACCGACACTGAATAAATGAATCCTATCTTGGATCGAATTGATCATCTCCGCCGTAACACCGTTCATCAGATCAGATTGTATCCGTACGCAGCAAAAGGATTGGATGCCTCTGTTGGTTCCTGCGTAGGTATTCGAGGCCGTGCGCCATTCTCACGTGCAGTTCGTGGCTGTTGAGTTTTTGCAGCATTGATTATGACGGTTTCACCGACCCTCAGCCTCTGATATTACGTCGATCTTCCCGCGACATATCTGCGGCTGTATCTTGTTCATGACATGTGAGGATCAGGATAACTAACCATTGTATATGGGGTTCTCCGCACTGCAAACTCCTGCAAGACATCGCTACCCTTCCCCCATCGAGTATAGCCGTGTGATAAGATGTGACATTTCAGGCGGCTCTCGACAAGATGGGATTGGATGCTGTTTCTGTCGACTGTGTTGACGAACCCCTCTTTATGGCTTCCTGGACGATCAGGTGCAAGGAGTTTGAGGATCAATACGAGGGTTCATGTTACCTTGATCTTATCAAACCACATATCATAATATGTCATTGGTTCTATGTATTATTTACCGCAAGGATTGGTAAGAAATATCGCAGAGGTGAACGTTTACCAAATACCAACTCCCAAACTCCTAGCGCAAGCCACGATGCTCTAATATCTCACTCTCTGACGTTGTTGGTTGTTAACACAGAGAACGCCCTTGGTACATCGAAGAAAAGAAGACTTCGGAACATTCATCAGAAGCGTCCATGCTGGCGATTTAACTTTTAGTAGTACCACACTAACGATGCATAATGCCTTGGAAAAGCTACATATTAACAAAGTACCGTAAGACCCTGACCTTGCTACGTAGTAAAGCTGAATGAACCGAACCCCTTGCTAATTTTCGTAGAGGCTGTGAAGACAAGTGTGATCGGACTTGACCGAGCATCAATCTTGGCTTTTCCTTATTTTAAGCACGGTTGGCTTGTTTCAACGTCTTGTTAGTTAGAAGCCATCTTAAACGGCCTTCAGTCCCTTTGAATAATATGCGAAATCTCTCGTGTCTTATGTCCTACCAAGACAATAATTATCAGATTCCCCAAGTGATCGGATCGTCCAATCTACAAACGCGGAGAATTAAACCCACACTCTCAGCATACCCTGTCCATTTTCACTTTGGAATGCTCTACGTATCATTCAAGCAAAACATCAGGCCATTTTATTGCTTCTGTGACTATTTATGAAGCAGCTTCGTCCTTGTATCCCTGCCTAGAGCTCAGTTGGTTTTATAAAGCTCCTCTTTGAAACATAGGTTGAACCAGATGAATCCACAACCGAAACCACCACCATCTAAGGTTAATACATCTCCTTTCGGCTGAGGCTGGGTTACGTTGGAACCAGATGCGATCTGATATATCCGTAGTTACTGGCAGTGATCAAGTGACACAAAGATACAGTCCTGGATAAAGAGTTCGGTCTTGAGGAATGTGATAGCAATACTATGCAGACGCAGTCAAGAGCGCCTGTAACATATCTCAAGAGTACTATTTGTATGGCTATTGCAACCCAAGGAACCGTACATGTCCCATGCCGTCCCTATAAATCCCTTCCACCAACCCGACTTTTATCGCCGTGAAAATCGCTCATGAGTCTATTCTGGTCCCTTCCCACACAGCGAAAGAGAGCTCGCCGGCTCCGAAACAGAAAGAAAACTTGAAAAGCGCCATGTCATCACATACGTTGTCTATGGCTGTTATATTCCACCACATATCGTCCCAAAATCTCAACATGCGCAGCAGGAGAATAAAAGATAAATGAAGTGCCTCTAGCTTAGTGGTGGTGACCAAACTGTGTGAGCAGTGGCACCAGCATGCCGCCCATGGTGGCCAAGGTATCGCGCATCTGCGGTCCCTTTGGTTTTCGCTGGGCTGAGGCATTACCATCTGCATAGCCGTTGATGCCATGGTCATGGGTATGGGGGGTGGCGTCCTCTTGCATCGCATGCATAGCAACATATCTATCGAGATGTTAGTCATATACGTCAAGAAAGACAGACTTAACTTACAAAAACGTGCCACCAGAGAAGAGGAGTAACATGCCGGTCCACCAATGATCACTCTCAACCTTACCACCACCTAACAGAGTGATCAATGTCCATGTTGTCAACGCACCAAAGGGTGCGGCCAAACTGAATACAATAAGATGTCCTCGAGCAGCTCGCTTCGATAGACCCTGCTTGAGGAGAAGTGAAGTAAGGCCAAAGGCGGCAGGAGCCTTATGAATCATAATGGCCGCAAAGATAATAAAACCAAGCTTCATATCTGAAGTGGTTGATGAGGCGCCCATTGCAATTCCATCAGCGGCAGCGTGAATAACCAATCCAGTGGTCGTTGCCAGGCTGCGCGCTCGTCGCGGAGTAGGTGTCAGGGATCCCAGGAATCCATCCGCCTCTTCGTCAACGGAGGCGGAATCACCGTTGAGGTTGTCGAGGCTGATATGACGGGTCTGGGGCGCAGAATGAAGACTCTCTGTCGCATGTCGCGGAAGTCGATCAATCAGGAACATTAACAAGAAACCCAGAATCAGAGAGAAGCCAATTTCGAATGTGGGGACGGCATGCTCGTGCTCGTGCTCCTGTTCGTGCGCATGATCATGATCATGCTCTGCTTCATGATCCCCGTCCTGGCTATGTTGGCTTTCCTTTCCACTTTCTGTCTTTTCTGATCCCTTGTTGTCGGTAGTGCCATCTTTTGTGGTGTCGTCGGCTCCTGGGATGGCTGGAGCATCACCACCTGTCGCTTCAACGGCGGCCTCAGTATCGGCGCGCTTGACTCGACCATTGACTGCTGCTGCATTTACAATTCGACGGACAAGCGCTTCGGTATCCAACTCGTCATTTAGTTTCTCAATTGAGCCGGTGCCTATTGTGACAATTGACTCAGGGAGTCCACGTGTGAGCACGGCATGGCTCCAAGGGGTTCGGCGCACCAGGCTTCGAACTCGATGCATATGAGTAGCCTCTGCGGGTGCGGTTGCGGCTTCGATTCCTTCGGGGATGATGACTATAAGTGAAGTCCCGACCAATATTCCAACACCGACGCTCGAGAGTAATCGAAGTTGCGATTGCGAAAGGGACATTGATAGTGGCAGCGCTCCGGCGAGGAATGAGCTATTCGGCATGTTAGTAATTGACGAGAATAGGTGAGTCCATGGTCACGGTCGCACGTACGCCAACGCCATGACTAGCTTCATTGAATGTCAGTCTTGATGATTTATCGATGAATGGGTGAGGTCACTTACGCATAGGCCCATAAGTAATAGTACCCCTCCCATGGTTGATGCGATGTCAATTGACTCTTGGGTGGATATGCGCAAAAGACTGATGACAGAACAGAAGGAAAAGAGGTGCCGGTCTCAAGACTATCCACGCATGTTTCGGTTGTCGTCAAGTATATCGGTCTAGGTATGCGCTTATCGAGGGATTGAAGCGCAGTATCGACGACAGACAAGACGCAAGGGCGGAGCGGACAACAAAGAGGTTGGCGTTGGTATTGGGCGTCGAACAAATTTATCTGGCCTCGCTCATCAGAGTCAGCCTGGACACTGTTTGAAATGGATTGGATCAATAACCAGCCCTGCGACGGTTTGCTAGCTGTCGATTGGCCGCTGCGGGGCATCTAGACCCTTAAAATCCCCCCTAGGGGCCAACCCGTGGAGACAATAAATTCAGGGGGAAGGGATACTTTTTGGAATAGCGTCAACTATAGCTGATTAGCGATCTGAGATAAGAGATCAGTATCTTTTCCCTCGGACGGTAACGTTGTTTTCTAGAATGGGGGTCTCAATGTGGGAAACCTTCGACTTGAAGTGAGTGCGAATAATAGAGGTCGACGGCCCATGTTTCACATCAAGTTACTTATCACACAATGGTCAATGTTCTATAGTGGCTGGACTATCAAGGTACAATTCCATGACACGTTCATCTTTTGATTGTCAAGAAGTTCTAGTACATTTCAGCAATTATTATTTTCTTAACTTACCATATGAAGACTGGAACCAATACCCAGTACTGTCTAGAAGATGGTAGTCATTCCTAATCAATCCGCTAATCTGCCTACCCTGTACTGGATGTCTGGACATTACATTTCAGTACAGCCTCAAGTCATAGCACTTTTTAAATATTATTGAACTTCTATGCCTGTCAGATTAATGTCGCAATGGCGCCCCTTGAAAGAATCGTCTATTTGAGTCACATGGATAACCTTGTGTACATATCAAGTTGTGATCTGGGAGCTCGGTCTAATAGCTACGGAAGTCCAGTTCATAGAACATTGAACTCAACTCTCCAACACTCAACCATACCTCCAATGACTAGAACAGCAGAAATACCACAAGGGTTCTTCAAATAAGGTACATAACTCCTAGTAGAGCCAAGTACTGCTTTTCATTACATACCCATTTGTTGGGTTCAGGCCTCCGTCATTCAAGTAGATAATGATATATATCAAGTAAGGTCTGTGCACCAACAGCAACTGATCCCCACATCGAAGCTTTAACTTACAACCACAAATTCTCAGTCTCGCAAAGCCAAGAGCGTCACTGACTCAATGCTTTCGAACTACACGGCCCTCACATGATGGGCGAAACCGAGCAGTCGCCTCGAAGACGCCATATTCTTTCCTCTATCAACCCTGACAAGCCTGAAAGCCGAAGGAGGAGTCGATCACCCGAATCGCGATCACCAGTTGACGTCAAGAGAGAGCCGTCGCTTGATGCGACATCCAAGCACACCGACGCCCAGCGCAATGACAACCATGACGAAGGAGATACCACAGCGCCGAGGCGCTCACGCATTCGGCTGAAAGACCACCATAGATCTCGTCGAAGATCGCGAGACAGACATAGGCATCGAGATTATGATAATGATGACAGTCACAGGCGTTCACCTGTCCGTCACCGCCGACACCGACACCGTCGGCGACATCGCCCTCCCACACCAACAAACCCTCATGAACCAGAACCTCTAGACCCCGAAGCAGCATTTCGCGAATCTCTATTTGATGCCATGGCCGATGACGAGGGCGCTGCATACTGGGAAAGTGTATATGGCCAACCCGTCCACGTCTACCCCAACGAGCGCGTGGGGCCTACAGGTCACCTAGAGCAAATGACAGATGAGGAATATGCCTCCTATGTTCGTCAGAAGATGTGGGAAAAGACACATGCTGGTCTGCTTGAGGAGCGTGCTCGCCGTGAAGAGACGAAGAAGCGCAAAGCCGACGAGGATCGCCGCGCGCAGAAACTTCAAGACGATATGGAATATAGCATACGTCGTGGAGAGGAGCGCAGAGAACGTCGACGGTGGGCGCAACGATGGGAAGACTACACGAGTGCTTGGATAAACTGGGATGGTACGCCCACAGAAATTGCATGGCCGGTTGAAGGCGGTCGTATAGAAGACGTGGACGAGACAACTGTGCGCAAATTCTTTGTCAACGGATTGAATCCACAAGAGATAGGAGAAAAATTATTCGTGGCTAAGCTCAGGGATGAGCGTGTGCGATGGCATCCAGACAAGATCCAGCAGAAGCTGGGTGGGCAGGTGGATGAAGAGACTATGAAGGGCGTGACGGCTGTCTTCCAGATTATTGATAAATTGTGGACGGAGAGTCGGCCGAGGACACAATGACGATAATCCTAATATAAGATATCATACATGGTCATGCTACAGCTGGTAAATTCGAATGTGATGCTTCTCCCGGATCAGAGTTGCATGGCTTGGTACATTTGTATGAGATAAACAGCCAAATGTTGACTGTGTTTATTGCATATACCTACTGTAAGGTTCTGCGAGAGGATAACCATGCATCCTTTGGAGCCAAGATAGCCAGTTTTTGGTTCCATTTCCTGATCCTGCTGCCCTGTGTCCGATATGACCATCGTATCAAGCACTTGACACAGATAAGTAGGGAAATACTAAAGGAGATAATGTGATTAGAGGCAAACCGTGTTCGGAAGCATATTTCGACGTACTGGGGGTTTCAATAAGGCATATTCTTCCAAGTAACACAAGTTCGATGGATTTGAAAGTTCTTATGGAACAGCCACAGTCCATAGCAATCATATTAAAGTCTCACTCTAGCCACCAGAGCTGGCTTAGTTTCACAGCAGAATAGCCTGAGAGATCATCAGTACTGTAATAAGCTTTATATCTTGTTCCTGTCATTAATTCCCGTTCATTAGCTGTAGAGTAAACAATGGCAAATAGCCGACATTGACGGGGTTGTGTTTTCAGTTTGTTTCCTCTCTGATTTGAGCCTAACACTAAGTAAACGGTTGAAACTATAGAAACATAAATAGTATGGCTGTTATAAATTTAATGACCTTGCAGAGAGCCAAATTCCTATGATTATTGGAATTTGACGGAACCAATGGCTCTTCTCGAGCTCGCCGGGCGGCAGGCTTGACATACTCATACCCAAACGGCGCATAGTTAAAATCGAGGCGTTTACGTAGAGTTCTCTACTTTTCTTCCGCTGAAAACAGGAGCTTGTTGGTTATGCCTCCTAGGTATCCTTGAGTTCTCTACTGAGCCGGACTACTACATAACCGGTGAAGCCCAAGGGAGGTTGAAACATATGAAGTGGCCATAGAATTACCCTGGTGTAAGCATACAGGAGTGAGTCTTCCTCTGTCTTAGCCACCGAAGAATGAGAAAGAATTGCGCTATCACGACCATGTAAATGTGATGTGCGCTGACTGGAATGCGGATCTCACAGCAAATGGCCACCACCTTATTCACGCCACTTGAATACAAAAGATCACTATCGACAAGGAAATCCCTTTGCTAAAATGTTCTTCCCTGCTGAGTTTGTAGTTTTGCCGGTGAAGTTGTGGTAGTTTCACTGCAAGTCATTGAGTTAAAGAAATAACCCCAAGTTAGAACATGATTGAAAGACGAAGTGGAATGTCCGATACCAGTAATCAAACGTTCAGTGTTAGCTCATATGATACATGTATAAATTAGCCGCGACAGTAGCTTACGACGCCACAACCCTGGCTTGAAACCGTTATGCACATCTCATGCCAGTTATCGAGGGCGTCAATGAGACTGCAACATATCATATAGACCAGGCCATGACATTGCATTATTCACGCAATTGAGAGCACAAAAGGGCATAGCGAGTTCTAGCATTTGAGCTGCACATATAACATAGAACGTGCTTTATTTTGATTTCAAGAATAAAAACGTTTATAGGAGAAATGCTATTGATAAAGCCACCGGAACAAAGGCTGCACCAGACAAAAGCATCCCTCAATTCCATATTTCCCTTTTCCTTTCATTACACTAACGGCAGATGTGCAACGCTAGTTTATTAAGATCCCGAACCCCGTCATATCCTTGCTTCATCCGAATCAGATATACACAAGAGCTCCATAAGTTGGTTAAAACGATGGCGCGTGAAGATTTGACCGTTTGTTTCATTATTGCTGTCTTCTTCCGTAAATCCCACTCTACATATTGGCAAAAAGAGCGGCACCACCCATAAGAGCACCCATAGCGACGGCAGCAGTGGGCATGGCACCAGCGTTGTCGCCAGTGGCACTGCTGGCGGCAGCACCAGCACTGCTCTCGATAGCACCGGCCCTGGAGGTGGCCTGAGCGATCTTGGACTCAATAGCCTCGCTGGCAGTACCAGTAGCAGTGGCGAGATCAGAGCTGAGAGAAGCAATCTCATCCTCGATAGCGCTGGAGGCACTGGCAAGAGCGCTGGTCACGCTGGCGAGAGCGCTGGTGTCGACAGTGTTTGATCCGGTCTCGCTCTCGGTCTCAGCGGAGTCGGTGGCGGTGGAAGCTTCAGTCACGGTTGTAGAAGCACCAGTCTCAGTGGCGGTGCTGATGCGAGAAGAGACATCGCCGATGCGAGAAGAGACCTCATCACCGACGCGGGTAGAGACGTCCTCAATGATGGAGGAGGCATCATCAATTCGGGAAGAAACATCGCCAATGATAGAGGAGACCTCGTCGCCGCCAGGGATGGAGATGGACTGGGCCTGTATGATGTTAGCAAGACAAGCCTGCGGACCTTAAGGAATAGAGTATCGTACCTGGGAGTAGGCAGCCAGAGCAGCGAGAAGAGTGACGGCAGAGTACTTCATGATGTCGGTGTTGTTGATAGAAGATTGGTCTGAGAAGTGCTTGTTGTTTGGTGATGTGAGAGTCTGATCTAAAATTGGTTGGCAGCGATGAATGAGAGGGAAGGAGAGAAATAATAGAAAGCCTGGAGGTCAAGACGTTTTATGGACAGAGACCGAGACAGTTAGCCATGAACCATGCCATGCTATGCCGTCCTTCTTGGCTGACTGCATTGTACTGGGCCCTTTGACAATGGCCTCTATTCGCACACCCCTTCACCCCGGACTGTCCGCCCTAGCCCCGGGCCTTGGCGATTCGTATACTTGGAGAATGGTAGAGGCACGTCTATTCGTAGTTAGGTCATAGATCGATACAGCCAACAGCGAACGAGCCAGAATCGGACCTGTACCCAAATATTCGTGCTTCAGATTGATGTCAGTCAAGATACCACTGCCTCTGTACCAGTACTAGACGCCATACAGTGTGCTGCAGGTAGTGTAGATCTCGCCCAGTCCGAGCTGTGCTCTGGCACGCTTTGTCAATACGGCACTCAGAGCTTCCAGATGTAGTGGCCTCAGCTGCCCCCTGGCTTACGTTATGCAAGGCGAGGTAATACAGCATCCCACGTCTCAGCTCGCCCTACACGAGACCACCGGGAATAATACAGCAAGTACTCCAAACGGAGGTCGACCCCATTCTTTGGCAAACACCGTTTGCGCATAGCTGAGCCTCAAGCTGAGCCTCAAGCTCACGCGGCATGTCTTGGGGTTTTAGGTATTTGGTATAATGGCCTAGGTAGTATTTTTTGAAAGGAGCGTAGGATCTAGGTCATGAAAGCAGCCTGGGCAGTTACCCCGATCCATTCGAATCTTGAGGCAAATACGTCGATGATTTACCGAAACGACTGACATTTGAAATTCAAGCTCGCGAGTACCTGCATAATATTCCGCGACCAGGGTTTCAGTGCCGTTCTCCGAATGGTATCAGAAAAACCGGAAAATGAGCAGCAATGGGTATTTCTTGGCTACCAGGTGTACCCTGTGGTTGAGTACCCAGTGACTGCAAATCCTCCATCATCTTTCATCACGATCTCGCGCATATGCTGCAACAGGCGTGTTCATAGCGTTAGAGCTCCTGGCTAGTGCAGCTACTGCGTGCTTCAAACATGCATCCGGGGGCGCCAAGGCGAGACTGAGCCAAGATTTGTGATTGGGGGCAACAAATCGGGGCGACTTGGTCGAAAGCAAGAAACTGTTAAAGCCAGCTCCAGTTGATGAAGCCGAATCCCGTGAAGTTTGAGGATAAACTTGTTCTGACGTTATAGACTAAAAACAGAAGTGGAGTTAATAAGCTGGGATCCATTTCTAGTCAGCAACTACATTGAGTTGCGGATACGTCAGCCACGCTCGCCACAGCATCGGGCTCTACCACAGCCACGCTACCACATAACGATATAGTGTGAGGAAACCAAGGAAACAGGGAGGAACTGAGCACTATTTTAGTAAGTACAGACTTGCTTCAAAAGGTGAATCTTGGTGTCTAAAAAGATGAAAGCGCCGGCATCGCCTTCTCCCTTTTCTGGTAATCCTGCCATTGTCTTCGCCTTCCCCCAATGCCAATGCTAATGGATCTCTATCGCGTAATTTTAGGTGATTATTTGCGTCACGGTGGGCCCTTTTTGGATGGAAGCCCCACACTTTGTTTGCTGGCTGCTCTTTCTGTTACAGTTGAACCAGGGTCAACACGAGCCCTACGACAGTCTGCATGGGCCACCAACAAGGCCTTCTCATTGGTGAGTCAGCTTGGAACTTTGGGACCTCACGACTATTCCCGCGATATTGGATCCCTTCATCAGAAGGAATTCGACCCTGTAGACATTGCGTTAAAGCACAATCGAAATTATGGAATTACCTAAACGACTGCACTGTATACGAATGCATACTGCACTATGCTGGTGTCGATGCAACACACACACGCGACACCGTCCATCCCGTACAGTAGACTACAGCCATGCATGGCGTTAAAGGAAGCTTACTTCTCTGAAACAATGTCCAAGACATCCAATCAAAACTCGAACCATTTCCTGGAGAGAAACCTTACGTTCCTGGTTTCTTTGCCTTCACTAGCTGAATCGCAGAAATCGAGAGGGACTTGGGAATTCAAGAGATCTGCTAACCACTAAAGTTTGTTCGAGAAGCCCAAAGGAGGTCTGGGAGAGTGCAGAGGATCGACTGACTGTCAGTCCTCAATACGACAGTGGAAACACCCGGCATGGGGAGAATTAGACAAGGGAGCCCTTGGCTGTCTTGACCTCTACTTACTTTCTGCACTCTAAGCTGAGTAAGCCAATATCACAGCACCGAGCAGCGATAGTTACATACACACTCGGCACAGGAAGGAAGAACGAGTCGACTCAGGAATAATCCGAGAATTCTGATTCCCTATCCGCATTCAAACCGACTGAATAGGAAACCCAAGGTACCTCTACCTTATACTGACCACCCTTTGTTCTTTTGTCTCAGGTACCTGAGTGCCTGAACGCGCGGCACGCGACACCTAGCCAGAAGAGTCATCAGTTGTTTAGTCTACAGCGCCTGATTTGGTGTCACATCACCCAGAGACCAAGCAATCAGCAATTGATGCAAGGGTTTGAATAAGTGTATGGTGTATCATTGCAGAAATGATCTGTTCTGCATGCCAATTAGGACAGCATCGTTTCTGGTTCAAGCAATATGCACAGTCATGAGGTTTGGAGACTGGTACACCGCAACCTGTACGGAGTTTGTACGTACGGATACCTCCAACACTCTTACTGACCTGATCCAATCCGAGAGCTTCCCCTGTCGTGGCCGGCTTGGCTCAACGCCACACACGCCCCTCGATGTCTCCACATCAACTCCATCTCTCCTCATCTTCAAGTGCTTCCATGATATTTTGTTGCCATAACCCCGGCTTGGCACCCTGGATCGCCATTTCGACATTCTACTGCCTTGCTCGACAGTCTTGGCCAATGCTAGCCAAGCCCATATCGAGCATGGTCTGGCAATAATTCAAGCAGCGTTTTCAGCCTCGCTTCTGACGCCGTAGCCGACACCGCTCCTCATCGAGATTCAATGCAATGAACGCACGCGTGGACTGATCAAACTATGGCTTAATGTCCGTCCGACTATGGCCAGGGTTAAACAAAATGGGTCGTTTCGTTTGCCATTGGAATTGAGGTTCCGTCGACAAGCGAAAGAGGCAACCTCAAGCCCCATTGCTACTATACAAACTGAGAGACAAGTGGTGTGCAAACTATAAGAAATTTCGGTGGATTGCTTGCGCCATGGTCTTTATGTCTTCAGTGCTTAGTCTGGAATCTGAAGGGTGTTTTAACGGTTTGCTCACCTTTAAAGCCAATCAGATTTGCTATCCCATTCATTTAAACATGCCCTTCTTGAGCTCCTCCACTATCTCAGCCGCTTCCAATGCGCTACGGGCCTCAAAGTCGTATCGTTTGCTCTCCGTTGCTTTATACACTACAAGCTATTTTTGGCATTGTTAGAATCTTTACACCAATATCAAAGGAACAGAAAACTCACCTTGACATTTGTGGGGTGTTTCCGGAGCACTTTGCACCCAACTACGTTGCTGAAGTGCACTGTTGTTGTCTTGCCTGAACCATCGTGCAACGCCTTACCGCCAGACGCTGGCATGATGTGGATGTACTCGCCGTCGATTACTAAAATGCGTTCGCTCATACCAACGATGCGCATGGGCTGCTTGCGCCAGACAGTGTACTTCTTGTAGCTGGCGTTGCTGAGTTCATCTTGCTTCAGCGATTCTCGCGCCAATGGGTGACTTCCCACCATTGGTGTTTGCGACTTCTTGCTGCGTTTCTGCATGGCCTGATCAGCTAGTGGCAGCATCTTCGGGGACGAGCTGCCCGGCGAGCCGGTGATCGTTAATGGGCCATCTGTTGCAAATCGTCGCCTGTACAATTCCAAGTCTGAGACGTTCCCAATGGACGAAACTGGCCGGTCCAGCATGACTACCGCTCCTGATCCAGGAAGCTTAAGAACATGGTTGGCCTTGTCTAACTGTCTCTTTCGGCATACCATGTCCAGCACCTCAGCCAAGTAAGTATCAGTCATCACATCGAGTGTCACCATCTGACCTGGTGCGACATCTGATGACATGATGTGAATCCGAAGCAGTTTTTGCTGCCCGCGGGATGTATTGGGAGCCGCAGCAGGCGCCTGGGGCATGTCTGCTGGAGGAGCGTTCGAACGATATGTCGTTGTGACGATGGGATTTTGCCGCGGACGGTCCACCGGGAATGGGTTGACAGCCGGTCCTGGAGTGCCTCGGGGAGTCGCGTCCGCATCTGGCTCCGTGGGAGTGAGAGGAACCCCCCCGCCACTATCCTGTGATGTTGCTGGCTCTTCTTCTTCATCTTCTTGTGGGGTGAGTGACTTATTCTCAAGGTACTCCTCCTCTGAAGCTTCTGCCAAAGCAAAGTCGTCATAAGCAGTTGAATTAGATCGCATGCGGCCTCCACCGCGCGCAGCAGCATTGTTAACCGTAGTAAAAGATGTCAACGGTTTCGTTCTTTCAAACGGGGGAAAATCATCGTCAACCTCGCCACCTTCTTCTACCATGCGTAAGGTCCACCAGTTAATATTGAGCTTGCCCTTGGGTAACGGAGGTTCGAGTTTCTCCTCATTGTATCGGTATAAACTCAAACCGATGAGGTCTGCGACCGTCACCACCCGCTCGGCACCTTGTCCGTCGTGAACACGTGGGCGGATAAGCACCTGGAATGGCTTGCTAGGCGTTTTCGAGAAAGGTGCATATATACGCACAGCAATAGAACCCTGTGTACCCTGCCCACTGAAATGGGCAAATTTCTGGAAGGGGATGGACGATTTCTTATCCTTGGCTTTCAGGGCGGCCGATAGCAAACTCTTGGGTTGGGCGACGCTCAGAGGTCGGATCATGCTCATCGGCCTAGGAGGTGGTAACGCTCCGAGGACAATGGGGTGCGTCGGCGGTTTGGATTTGCGAATGGTCGACTGGCGTACAAAGTTTTTGGGCGGTGTTCCCACAACCTGCCGGGTAGGAGATGCATTGATAGCGTTTTCAACGCCGTCAAGAATCGATGCCGAGTCTATACTCTCGGCGTAATTATCAGACAAGTCGGAAGCCTCATCGGAATCTTCCTCCTCCTCTGGCAAGAGAGATGTGTCTGCTCGTTGAATACCGGGCGAGGGTTCTTCCAGAATTTTAGCCTGTAGCTTCGCAGCTCTTGCTGCAGCGCGAGCAGCTTCCCGATGCCTCTGGACTGTCGGAATATCGGTCTCGTTTTCGGATGATATCTCACTGCTGGTAACTGTGTCTCTTCGGGGCCTCTCCTGCACTGTTCCCAAAGCTGACTGTGAGCCTCGGCGAGGCGCCCTTGGTGAGACAGCCCCGACTTGCCTCAAATTCGTGTTCTGTAGTGGTGATGAGCCCGCTCTGTGTCTGACTGGCATTTTTGCAAATTTGATCTGTTGCGCAGCCCTTTGATCCGTATCGTCGTCGCTCTCATCGCTCAAGTCACTACTGTCTTCTTCTTCCATCTGCTCGCGACGCCTGCGCCGCCTGGTAGCCATGCCTGGGCCCATAGTATCCGAACCGCCTGCAGTGAGCATACCGCCATCTTCCTCCCCATCTTCAAGTGTGAGGCCAGCCTGCTTTGGTGCTTGGAAGTATTCGGAGGCAATTGCGGTAGGAATCGGAGGTGAATGTGTCCGCTTATGGTGGGACGAATTCGGTCGCCAGCCAGCGGCTTTGAAAGGAGCCGAGTTTATAAAGCCATCGTTGACGTTTAGGAGTCGCTCTCCAACGCCGTCTGCAATTTCATCGAGGTAGCTTGTGCGAAGCTGGTAGGAGACGAGTCTGGATAGGACGTCAGCCTATGAATCTGGGCAAGGCCATTGTTGGAGATATGATCGCACTCTTCAAGTTGTATGACAGACATAGTCGCGCCTAATTATGCGTGATCGCTCCACCCGGTGAAGTCAAGAATTTCTCGAGAGCCAAGTAACTGCTTCAACATGTTTAACGCTGCCCCAAGCGGTGAATTGTCAAGAAACCGAGAATCTAAAGCAGGGACCGTATCATCGTTGTAACTGTTATGCGACAAGCACGAGTTGAGCAGTGGGGTAATCTACCTCCTTACCCGTGAGTGGAGCGCAGCCTCCTCAAGATGTGGCTGTATTGTGATTGTGGCACCAGCATATTAGAAGTGGAACCCTTCGACTTCTTGTCGCGATATTCCAGGCTCATGATTCTTTCGTACTTTCACCATTACACCAACTAACCAAATAATTGACCACCATGGGCCTTGTTGACTACTCCGACTCAGAGGGCTCAGGCTCCGAAGCCGAAGTTCAAGCCCCTGTCAAATCAGCCCCTAAATCATCTGCATCTTCCAAGAAGCCTTTCCAAAAGGTTGTCGATAGATCCAACCCTGGCAAAATCGTTGTCAGCCTCCCTCAACTCGTAAACGATGAACCACGAGCTGAAGAGCCCCCGGAAAAACGGACAAAGACTGCCGGTGGCGGTAGATTCTCCGGTTTCAACTCGTTTCTACCAGCGCCCAAGAATGCGAACAAGCCCAAGCCCGTGGCCTCGAGCAGTGCGACAACGAGACCAGCCTTTCAGTTCAAGACTAGCGCAGCCCCAGGATTCAGTAGGGAAGCAGGAGACGATCTGGACACTTCAAATGGGAACGCAGATGGCATGAGCCTCCCGACGCCGAAGGTTGTCGCGCAACCACATATACCCGAAGGCCAAAAGCCAGCGGATGAGGTTAAGTTGGTGGGCAAGCCATTGATGTTCAAGCCTCTGTCGGTGGCAAGGCACCCCCAGAAGAAGAAGAAATTGAACTCAGGGCTGGCAAAACCTGCGCCGACTCCCTCACATGAACAGGCTCAGTTGAAATCGGCTGAGGTAACACCAGAGGCCACGCCAGCCGTTCCCAAGAGGGTGTCGCTGTTCTCTATGCACACAGAAGAGCCTTCTGAACCTGCAGAGAAGAGTTCTTCAGGTACTTACGAACCAATGTTTGCTACAACAGAAAGCTCATTAGCCTATGATGAGGGCGCATATGGCGACTATGCCAGTCATGCGCAAGCAGGCCCATCAGCAACAACACTACCAGGCTCTGAGTCCCTTGATACAGTAGTCGAGGATCTAAACCTTACCGCCGCTCAACGAAGAGAGCTCTTTGGTCGCAACGGTCTGGGCAACCAAGCAGCTAAGAAGGTGATCAATTTTAATATGGATAAGGAATATAGACACAACGAAGAGATCCGGGCCGCAGGAGAGGAACAGACTCACAACCCTGTGCGTGCGATCCAAGGAGGTGGAAAACACAGTCTGCGCCAGTTGGTACAGAATGCGCAGAGCCAGCGTGAAGCTCTTGAGGATAGTTTTGCCAAGGGCAAGAACAACCGAAAGGAGGCAGGGAGCAAGTACGGATGGTAATGACAATAATGATACCCAAGTTTATACAATATATTCAAGAATGATACTATCTATCCTGCCCCATTTTCGTCCAGCATATTTATGCGCAAACATACGCCGTCATCTATAACCTGAAGCCTAATATGCCAAGTGGCAAAGCATACGTGCAACCGAACAAAAGGGGTGTCTTGAAGCCAAAACGCTCGCCATGCAACCAACAAAGCAAATAAGCCAATGATATCAAAAAATCTCAACTCCGGCCTTGCGACCACTCTGGAAGGCATTGTCTGCCATCATGAAGCCCCATTCTCCTCTCGTGGTGGGTGATATATCGTCATAGTCATGTGGTGTTAACGGCCCAAATCTTGGTGATGCTGGACTCATAATGGGCGTTGGTGTGAGGGGGCTGAAAGCGCTTCGATTGATGGGACCGGCGGTTAAGATTTGATCTATCGTCGAAGGTGGCTCCCATTGTTGCATTGTGAAGTACAGTTGATCTGTTGGTCGTGCTGTGCGATCGCCGTCTTCCTCATCTCCCGCTTCGGCCTGAATCGGTGCTTGAGCTTGAGCTGGAACTGAAACTGGAGCTGGGACTTCTATTTTCTTGGGTTTCGGTTTGAGGATGGGCCCCGGAGTGAAATTTGTCTGAAGTTTAAGCAGAGGTTTTGGCGATGGTGTTTTTCCCTTGGAGACAGCAATGCCTATTGTCGCCTCCTCAGCCTCTTCTTCCTTGTATCGCTCTTGTGAGTCGCTAATAGGTTTGATGGCTGGCTCAGCGAAGCTAGTAAGACCTGAGATACCACCATATTGTTCTGGTCCTCCATATGCTCGCCTATACATGCGATCAAGGTCCACAAGTGCCCAATTAGACACACTCAGCCAGTCATACGATCGGAGGATGGCAGTTTTTGAAACCTTTGCACCATTCGTTGCCAGCATGATACGTCGGAGTTCGTCAACGGCGTCTTCGAGACGGAGGTGGGATTTCGTTTTGGAATAGCTGGACAAGGCACTCTTGAGACTGTACAGTCTGTCAAGTGATAGAACTGTGAGGCCTTCGGAGCAGAAAAGGACCTCGTTCTGGATGATGGAGCTATGGATGAGCTGGTTCGTGAGCCCGCATGAGGAAGCTCTGACAGCAGGTGAGAGCCACTCGGTGCTTTGGAGAGTTAGTCAAGTCCTATAGAAAACCGAGGTGGCTTACCCTATCGCGAACTTCTTCTCCGTCTTGGTCAGAATTGAGTTGAGGATCTTTTCGGACCTAGGGTGGAGCTCGTTGGTGTGGATAAGTCGCATACCGAAGCCTGATGATGCGTTCATCATAGAGCTCATGGTGTCTGTGGTCGTCGATGATGCGGTACAAGGTGTCATGGGAGGAGGAGACATTGGCGTGGATGGTGAAAGAGGCCATCTGAATCGAGGGCTGGATACTTCAAGCGGAGGGACCTGACCGGGCGAAGACAAAGCACTCCGTGGAGAATTCATCGACCGCAGGGATGTTGAAGAACCAGTTCTTACGAGTGATTTTAGCCTGGAAACAGGGCCCTGAGAGAGGTTCAAGCGAAGACCAGGAGACAGTGGTGAAGGAGTCGTCGGAGTCAACAGACCCTTGGGAGGCACAACAGAAGGAAGTTGATAATCCCGACGGGCTACAACAAGCGTAATATGTTGTGACTTGCGAGCCAGACGCGAAGATACATGCTCGAGAGCCGGTGCCAGATGAGGTGGCAGGTGATGAGCGTCGAGGATTGAGGTACCAGCCTCGAGGGGTGACGAGATCCTATCCTTGAGCGACATTTCGAAGTTGTGAAGCCGTGCTTCAGTAAAGAGGACGACTTGACTTGGCCTGACCTGGCGAAGAACGAAGAAGACGAACAAACGACGAGTTACACTCAGAGAGAAACAAACAGACAAGAAGAGATATAACGAGGGAACTGAATTGAGCAATCAGCCGCACAGCAGCTGTGATATCCTCTCAAACTTGATGGTATTGTGAACCCGTCGTTGTTGTGATCCTGCGTCAGAAAAGTTTCAAGAGCAGGGAGAAACAAGTGGATGAAAGGAGTATTAAAAGAAATGACCGCATCTGAGCTTATTCTTCCCCGGACATGTCTATCTAAAAAAAGAATGAAAGGCAGCTTGTTTATGTTTCATCATCCAGTCACTTCTCTCCTCCCCTGGTGGCCTCCCACTAAGCGGCCCGCCTGATAACCTCGGTGGATGTGGACATGGGGGAACATGAAACGGAAGCGTGCCAAGATGAGTAAGGCTCCGTTGTCGTGTGTTGAAAAAAGGGGAATTGCAGCATCAATCACTCGTAGTTGATAATAAGCGGTGATTTACTCTGGTGGTTTACATCGAAATGCACCCCCGCTGTGCATGACCAATGCGGTTTAGTTGAGGGATCTCGGCGGCTAACGTGCATTAGTGGCAGCTCGGCTACTATTTTGAGCGGCTGGCGGGGTTGACGAAACGGACTATGATTGGTCAGCTCTAGCCTTATACTTAATTTAGAAGGTGGTTGGCGGCCTGGCAAGGCATGTGAGTGGTTGTATGCATGTGAGTGTGACGATGAGCTCGCAGATTTGGATCGAGCAGGGGAGGATATCACTCAGTAATAATCAATAGTTTAATATTGTTCATATTTATATTGAGAAGAACAATGGCATGGTCATATCGCTATAATCTAGCAGAAACAAACTGTCATAGGTCTGAATACACTGTATTCCTTGACATTGTATCCTCCCTTGTTCTAAAAACAGCCTCTCATCCTTGTCCATCACCGTCACTCCCACGTTCTGTTCCTGCGTTCCTCCCTACAGTAGCTTCGACACCAAGATCTCTTCTCCTGATCTCGGCATTCGTGGTGTGAACCAACAGTTCCCGTCTCCCGGGTCACAAATATCTCGATAGCTGGATACCAACACTCAGATCCTAGATATCAATCGATCAAGTAGCCCAAAATTGACATGTAACACATCTATGAACAACATGTTACTGAAACATTTGCTTCTTCCACAGTTATCATGAACCAAACATCTCGCTTGAAACGCTTCAACTGTAACTAGAACAAGGAGAAACGAATCTCCAGATCAGAGACCCGTTGTTTCATCTATAGAGACATGTTTCTAAACTTACGAATTTTCGCATACCTATGGAACGGTATCGTAGCATTGGCGTGCTAAGGCTGGCCACTATTTTGGTCCGGTAGCTAAAGATAGCTTTTCAGCCAGCCGCCAGCCGGGCCTGTCAGTACCGTCACGACCCTGACTTTCAATGCTTGGATCCTGGGTCTTCTAGACCAACTCGCATGTAGAAATAGAAAACAGTAGCCGAGATTTACACCATTCGTCTGTCGCGCGACTTGGGGCTCACCATTGTTCAGAGGCTATCCCAAGGTCGCTATTCATAGAACCACATGGCTCCATCGCTACATCACAGGGCGGTAACAAACGCAATTCTATTCTATTCTGACTGTGAATTCATTCAAGGCTACCAAATTCACCAGAAGATGCTCTAAGGCGTATGGTATCATGTATCTGGCTAGCATGAATCGTGTAGTCGTGTATTAGTTGACCCGGCAAGCTATCCATCAGCTGATGAGTTTCACACTGCCCTGGTTGTAATGAACAGACTGGGAGCATGTCTCTTTCTCTGCCAGTTTCAGTCATAACTCCCTCGTCCTATTGATCTTATTTTCCATTTCGCCATCACTCCTTGCTATGCAAATGTGCTCCAGAAACACTCGCTTCTGCCTCGATACCATGACTTTACATTGTTGTCTTGAGCCTGATAAACCACCGATCGCCCACTCATCCTTTAGCTAGAGTCTAGTCGGAGCAAACCATCAATAAGATCAGAACAAGAAAGCATCGAGCTTCCACCAAACGCCTTTCCGTGCCCTTACCCGTGTCCATGTCCGTTGCGATATTCTGCTTTTGAGCAACCGCAGTGCTTCATCTAAATTCCTTGGGCACAGCCCCAACCTCATGACATCTGCTCCAGATCGGTTATTTCGTTCATTCCTGGAATGTTCATCTCAACAATGTCATCAAGTTGTTCAGATGACCCGCAGGATCCTTCCCAATCTTTACCCAACGTCAGCCGTCACCTCAAGTCTGTTATGATTGTGTCGGAGTTGCCGAGCGACTGTAACATACCGGACCCATCTTCCTCCAGTTCGTCAACAATTAATCTGCGGAAAGGATTCAATACATCTGCCAAACATGTGAGCCTTTTGATTGATGATACTGGACAGAATTGTAGAGAAATGACGTACCTTCCTGCAATGTGAGGAATTCCACATCTAGCTCGTTTTGCGTATCCGCAGTCGTTGCTACAGCCGCGGCCGCACATCCCTCAATTACCTTCAAGAACTTGTCTGCAATATCCCGACTTATTTGAGTTCGTCTGCGGACGTGGTGGTCTCTGAGATACTCGAGACAATTAAGGCCGACCTGCTTCATCATGTGTTTGATTGAGACTTGATCATTCAAGGTGATATCGCGGTCGCTGGGGAGGGCTCCAGCACCAACATCAATCTTACCCAATTCGCAAACTAAGAAGTCATCTGTGCTCCGGCGCACTTGTTCTTCAGGGCTTGCGAGGAGAAAAGGTACCCATTTTGGGATGAGATCACGGCTGAATGTGCGAACCGCCTTGCAAAGTTCCTTGTCTTGTTGGTGGAGATCCAGTGCTGTCTTGAAAAGCTGAACAAAATACACCCCCTCGGTGTTTTGAAGGCTTTTCGCTTGCACAGATACGTGCTCAACCATTTCCTTGGCGTTGCTGAGCTGCTCTGTGCTCTCAAGGTACGTGATAGAAGCCCGCAAAAACGGATCCATAGCCTGGGTCGAAGTTTCGCCACGAATACATAGCTTCAATGTCCCGAGTACTTTTTCATCCATGCTATTGTCTAGCTTTGTCAGGACTCGGATAATGTTGTTGCTACCTACGTGTTCCTGATCGAGGGTAAGGAGTTTTTCAACAAACAGGCTGGTATAGGAACCGTTTGGGCTTCTGTAAATAAGATCTACCTCCTCTGACGTCCAGCTGAAGGCATCGAACAGTTGTGATACACGCTCTGTAGGATCTTCGACATATTCGGCTCCTATTTGCGGCTTCATCTGACTCATCAAGTGGTGGATCAGTCTGATAATCGACACATACGAGGTAGGTTTTGTAGTATTGTTCCGCCTAATGACGCCTTGAAGCATTCTGGCCCAGTTCCCACTGAGTTCCTGGAGGGGATCAGCAGAAATGATTTTGATAGCGCTCGCTAGAAAGTTCGCGGCCAAGACATATCCGGTTTCCCGATGACCCATCTCAGCAAAGTCTAGAACAGTTCCGAAGTATTCATCCCAGGCTCTGATGTGGATATGGAAGAATTTCCAAAGGTGTTGGAATATAATCATCACACCATCAATAACAGAACGATGAGGAGCATCAGGTTCAGAGAGTGTTTCATCTCCATCAGCATCATGAATCAACTTGTATCGAATCTCCGGATCGTAGACATTGGGTGAAGTTTTCGAGATCTTGGTGACTGCGACCTTAAAAAGGTTCCTGATCTTGCCCCGCACTAGTTGATCTGGATTACGCTGCAAAAGCATGCGAAGAGCACTCGGATGTTGATTAAAGTAGTCATAGAAGGAAAAAGCACACTGTTCGCATGATGTGACTGCGTCTTCGATAATCTCTTCGTACAAAAGGAAATCCGGAGTGTCCTTAGTCCTTGTGACAACTTGATCCAAGTTACCAATGAGCGTTCGCATGGCAAGATCTTGAAGTTCATGCTCTTGATTGTGCATGGCCATGAAGCTGTTGATACTCGAATGCTTATCGCTTCTGCCAACGGATTTGCAGTGCTGGCGTGACTGACGAAACAACATTTGAACAAGTTTGACATTGCTCGGGTCGTAAATGCAATGACGGCGGAGGATGTTTGTATTCTCGTCTGAGAGATGATCTGCAAGGTGGTCTGGCACGCTAACGCGAAGGGGTGCCGAAATGGCAAGGCTCATCATCTCTTCCTGTTCTGCGCGCAAAGACGAAGCACGCTGGTAAAACAGCATATAGGCGCTATAGTTCTTGTCGTACAAAATGCCGTTAGTATCGTACGTGGGACGGTGGTCGGGACCTCCAAATGTTGAGTATTCCATGTGTGCAGGGTCCCATGGCGTTACCAAATCATCGTTGAATTCCACCCACGAGGACCGATTACCTGAGGAGGGACGCTCGCGGATGTAGGAGTAGTAGTGCCCGGATTCAGCAGTGCCTGCGTGAACGAGTACACCCACTAGTTCGAAGATGTCCTCCTCGATATCGCTCTCTGGGTTGCTGAGATGCTCAATAGTATATGGCCGCATATCAATTCGATCTGGAAACGAGAAATAATCATTGATTTTGTTTCTCTGCAAAGTACGCAGGTTGAAGTCAAATCTTTTCAGATGGAATATGACATTGTCGGGAACATCTTTGAGACAGGCCCTGTAAAACATTAGCTACTATGAGGTACCACGACGGAAGGGAGGCCAATACCTCTTCACTGCGTCAACATGGCGGTCGCATGTTGAGCATTTGTACTTGTTGTCTGGCCATTCGGTCAGCATCTCCTGGTTCCTTACTAAGAGACGTTACATACCTCCTTCCATGACCTCGCCATCCACATATGCCTGAAGGCTTTCTGCCAATGTGCCTTTCCCCTTGATATCACATTGAATTGCAGAAAATGGCTCGAGTCGCTCCGAAAGATGTTCGCACTCTTTTGACTTGACTTGCTGCACAAGCTGACCACCATAGAACGATTTCATTACCCGCTTTTCATCGTGGCCAGAAAGCTGAGTCTCCCAACGATCGAGCAGTAGATTGTAAAACTCGTCGACATCCATCTGATTGTGAATGTCGATCAACGCGTCGTCGTATGTTTTGATGGAATGGACGAAATTCGACGGATCAATAAAGCGACGGTAACTCTCCTGCATATGGCCGAACAATTTCTGGGTGTAGGAAAGGAGTTGCTGGCTGTTTGCAGGATCATTGATGCGGCAACCGAGGATGAAACGCCTAAACGTAGTGTTCATGAAGAGCTGTGTCATCAAGGAATTGAGATAACAAGTGTTGGACAAATTCAGCAAACCGGCATACCCACAAGGGGCCCGAAGAGCTCTGTGTCGGTCAAAATGGTAAGTGAAATCGTAGATGTAGTGGTCTTCTGAACCAGATGTCAGTATTCACATCTTTATTGCCACATAATACATACCCTCTTCATCTTCGAAAAACGGAACTTGTTGGCTGAGAGCTTCCACAACCGCCTCCATTTTCTTCTGGTCGTGTTTCACAAGAGTGAATAGCACATCGCAAAGTTTCGCTCGGGTCTCTTCGTTAAGGATGACTTTGGGTACAGGCTGCCCACTTCGCTGGCCTTTAGGGGGGTATAAGTGCTTCCAAACAAGTGACATTGCGAGGTTACTGGACTAGGTCAGCATATATTTGGTATCTAGAAGATTCAGTTATTACCCAGGAAGTGTTTTGGACTGGGGGACTGAGTTATCTAGCTGGAGGCAAATGTGCAATAATGACGATAGACCTCTTGCGAGCGAATCATCTACACTTGATGACCCGATGGTCTAATGGTCATGCGGTCAGCTATCTTGCTCGATTCCGTCGGGACGGGATGGTGACTGGGCCTACCTCGGTCGTAGTATGGTCAAGAAGAAGCTGGCTAATTTGAGAGGCAAACATCGCAATATTCAACAACTCAGGCGCTCGCGTGTATATTTTCACCAGGAGAAAATAAACCAATTTAAAGAGTTCTTCGCACTGGTTGGGAAATCCAGTTGTCTGTCTGACTATGCCGCTGGTGACCTTCCAGAAGTACTCCGCCATTGAGCACTCACGGGATCTAACTGAAGTCTCGCAGTCAGTCTCACCAATGGAAGTGGTAGTACTCATAACAGTAAAAAGTTCTTCAATTAGTTTCGCAGAAAGTGATCTCATGGTCTGCCGCGGATCGGTAAGTAGAAGGCGATGCAGAAGATGCATGAAGTCGGAGTTTGTGCTGAGTTCAGCCCAAAACTTATCATCAAGCATGCTCAGCCGAAGACAGATGACTAGCGCTCCTGCTATGACTGGAGAAGGGATGTCGCCTGGGCAGCCTGCGGCGTATGACAACATTTTCACCAACCGATTTGGATCGGGAAGAGGGAGCCCCTTTGGCGGAGCCGATCCTCTGAGGGTGCCGATTCCTGTAACTTTATTAGGTCACATAACATTTGTTTAATGAGTGAACATACTATCAAGAAACTGCCGGAGGGCATGCAGTAAAGTAGAGGTTAGCTTTAGCCGCAGGAGCACCGAGGCGCGATTAAAAATGTCCTCATCCGAGATTGCCTGGACGATGAAGGATATTGATATCTTGAGAGCCTCGGGAAGGATTACAGGATCGGACCCTGAGCTAGTGATCATATAATTAAGATGATTATGACTGATAAGTTGACTAGGGAGCAGGGTCTCAGCATATTCGATCAACGCATGGACAGCGTAAAGAGATTTGAAAGGTTGTCCAGAAGGAAAAATATCCTTGTATGACGTTGTTTCACTGCCGATCAACCTCAAAAAGTGACCATCTGTAGGCAACTTGATGAGAAAGTAGTAAATCTGGGAAAAGTCAGTCGAAATTCTTATTGCCAGGACCCGGGTACTTACCTCTTGTGCCAGTGCTTCATCCATACTCAAATATTCCCACATCTCGTCAAAATGGGCGGAAATTTCAATCTCCAGTGGGGAGGCGCCCGGCCTGACCCTGTTAGAGAGGACCGGACCACCCTCCTCACGTCTGACCAGTATAAGGCCATCGTGTACACATAGATCTTCTAAGGACCTACATATATCTTGCTCACTCGGCAAGAATGGTCGGCCTCTGTAGTATATCCGATAGTTCTCGAATCCAGTTTCTTGTCGCAAACTAGCGAGCAGCGAGGCTGCCGTGTTTGCTCTCCCAATGACAAGTGGCTTGATGTCAGTCTGCTGGTCGCCATCAAATGATTGATACTTAAGCCCCGCAGAATCTCCTTGGACCTCGTGGGATGCTTGTGGGATCAGTGTTCGTAGATCAGGTGCGGACAAGGATGGCTTCGACTGGTGCGCTTCAAGAATATACCGAAGAAACTTCAATGAACGGGTGAAAACCCTTTCTTGCTGCTGTAACTTCTGGTGTGTCATCGAAATAACCACGGTTTCGTCATCGCTGTTTATACCTTGGCCTGCATTTCTTAGCTTCTGGGCAGCACTTTTCAGCTGCTCTAAGCATCGGCTAGCTAGCTTCAGATGGATGGATTGTGCTCGCTGAGTGGTGATAGAGTTGAAAAATCGACTGTCGATGTAGATATCAACTGCGAGAGTTCGGATGGCCCTGTCCACCAGAGCCTCATCCTCAGCCTCAAGAATTAGGCGCCACAATTGTTCAATGCCACTAGCAGCAACTGCCTCTGGGTCATCGAGAGCAAGGTTTAAATTGTCGTTGAGACGTGGGAGGATCTCAATTCGAAGAAATTCAAGCATCCCCTCACAGAAGTATTCGGACGAAAGGGCTGGAAGATGGTGGGTCAGACAAGCTTGAAGGAAAGGATTACCATTGTTGTTCCTCCGATGGAGATTGTTCAAAATTTCCCAACCCACCCGCCTATCGTCGGGTGAAAGAGAAAGTGGCCCTACCAACATGTCCCAGAGTTTGATACCAAGGTCCTCGGTGATTGATGGTGGCTCAAACTGGATGAGGTTGGTAATGAACTCTCTCCGAGGTTGGTTGATAGAGCACGAAAGAACCACTCGAATCCCGGCCGCTTGGCCAGCACTAATGGCATGTTCCAACTCTTCAATTACGAGTCTTGTCAAGTCATGTTCTTCTACTAGACTGTGCAGTTCATGGGACATAACCTTTGACCGTACTGTAATGAATAAACACCAAAGGCTTCCCAAGGTTGTAGCAGACTTATTTGTAAGATCTTGAAGACAGCCAAGATAGAGCTGTCGCTGCCCTTCAGGATTTGGGCCGCACCTCAGGAGCTCCCTGAGTTTCTGCATTGCTGCTTGTTGGATGTCAGGATACATGACTTGCGATCCGGATGTACAAACAGACGAATCCCTCAACAAACGCAGACATAGATCGTACGGTTGGACAATGAGAGGACGGTCTACTGAACACTTGTCTGCCATATGCTTCATAATACCCTCCCAGAGCATTCGGATGACGGGCGTAAATGCGTCTATAGGGAGGGTTTGGAATTTCTCACAGAGAAGCAAAAAACCATCGTCGTCGAAAAGATGTGCGATATGAATGACCATGCGGGCTAGAGCATCAGCGGTACGGGGGTCTTGCCTGGAAGCAATGCCTTCCCAAACCCTATCGATATGCATCTTTCGGTACCTTCTGGTCACAATGATGAAGCCAACAATATTGGCACCCTCAACAGTAATTTCAGGATGGCAGTTGGCGCCCAGTAGATAGTCGATAAACCCGGTTTGGATCAGGTGTTCCGCAAGGTGCTCAACATAATGAAAAGTTCCATCAGCGGCATTACAATCGCCATACCTTTTCCAGAAGGTAATGAGCTCTTTGCACATTTGTGTCATGCCTTGAAATCGAAGTTGCATTTGGCTTGACTGTATTAGTTTGATCAAAAGTCGAAAGCGGCGTTCATAAGAAATCGCTTCAGCCGTGTATCTGAGAGGTACTGCAGGAAACTCTGCGCGGTGCTTTTGTAGCATAAGAGTTGCAGCTGGGTGATCACCCTTGAGAGCTAACCTGATCATATTTGACAAAGCTTGAACGATCAGAAGAACACTGTCTGCGACGAGATGCGTCGGATTTTTGTCAATTGTGATGTCCAATCTTTCGTACACCAGATCGAGCAATGTGTGACCAATGTCGAGTTTTTGTTTGCTTTTCGAAGCAATATCGGGAGTAACAAAGTTACAGGAATCTTCCATGATATCTGACGCGACTAAGCATATCGGTGCGAGGTCGTTGGTCAACCGAGGATATGAAGGGATAACTTCAAACAATCCCCTCGTCAGTTGGAGAAGGCGGCTGAGGCTCCCACCTGGACTGTCTTGAAATGCCTTAACAAAGGTCACAGACAAGGCCCCGGAATGCTCGTACTGATCATCGCTCAACAATAGCGGATTGATGATTGAGTGGAGGTTCTGAAGAAAACACGGGGAGAAAAGCTCGACGGTCTGCTGGCCCCGATCTCCCTGTTCCGCTATGAACTCTTTGATCGTATGAATATCTTGACTGACGAACCATGCTGACAACCTGGCGAAGTCTAAGAAGAATGCCTTTGTGGGATGCCGTAACAAATCATCCGTTAGAAACGGGGGCCTGTGCGACAGTTAGTCTCGGCACATACCAAATTGGATAGCGGGCTTACTTGTGGACAGCCATAGCGGTAATAATTCGTGGGAAGGTCACCCAGAAAACAAGATTGAGACGGCATGAATCTACTACCAATTGCTGATTGGCAGTAGCGATGTAATCAAGATACCGTCCAAGCCATTGCTGGAGTTTGTAGATGACTCCTGTATCGATTGAGGATTCTATACTGTTAGCATCTAGACCATCTAGGAAAAGGAGAATGCGCCTTACGACTTTCAATGTAATTGCTGAGCCTTACCACCATTCCCTCCAATGTCTCCGTCGGTTCCCTGAAAGGAAATTCACTGATGGGGTCGATCATCATAGAATCATCGTCAACTATTGAAACACCAACACTCTGGCGATCAGAAGCCATATCATCATCCGACTGCACAGCGATAACTTCGATGGGAGGGCTTGCTGAATGCGATAAGCCGGTCCGTGGGGTTTCGAGGTTCTGAGGAGGAGGCAGTACCATCACAATTTCAGCATCCTCAACGCTCTCTTTGACTTGGTCCTTAAGGGCAGCGGCCGTAGCCTCAGCCGCAACTGCCTGGGCACCAGTCGGGGGAGGAGGTGGTGAGGATGTTGAGTCGTTCTCAGGCGCGTTTCTCAAGTTAAGAGTGGCCATGCTCGATGGCGGCTCTGTTAACGGGTCACAAACAGGAGAGCCTAGATATGGAGTCTTCGGCGCAACGGAGTCTGAGTGAGAGTCGGCAGCTGTCGAGCCAGGTCGAGGCAAGACAGGTTCAGTATCAAGAGTGGCGGAGCTAGAAGAGTCGTGACCAGGATTCACTGTGCTGAGAGAATTGGTAGGAGACCCGGAGAGGGAAGTTCGTTGGCGCTTGCGAGATGATATGTTGCCGTCATCAAAGGGATTCGGCCGGGTCGAGCTCGCTTCAGCGGAGGCAGCACGATCTGGGAGGGCGGGAGATCTCGAGGCTGGATCCATCGGAATCGTAGAGAGAGGCCAACGGGGACAAAGCGTGGAGGTGCAGAGACGTCACACCGTCGCGAAAGACGCCCCGGCGATAGCTGCACAAAATTAACATGTGGGTTTGATAGAAATGGGAGATGTAGCGGGGCAAAGCAGCAAGATTCCCAAGCTCGAAGATATAGAGGTTTCGAAGAGGGAATCAGAGCTAAAGCGCGAGTGCCGGGGGGGGGGGGGGGGGGGGGGGAGGGAAACGTCGACAAATGTGTGTGTGTGAATAAGAGGTCCTGACGTTCAAGGACGGATGAAAGAGGATTGCCCAGAAGAATATACTGTTTACTCTCGAGACTCGGAGTGTGATGCGGATAAGAAAACAAGTGGATGGATTGGATGGATAAGACTTTTGAGATGGATCTGAGGATGGGATAGGTACCTTAGTCCAGGCCAGGATATGGGGGAGCATGGATTGGCAGTGCGCGCTCGCGGTTTGCTAGTGTGGATACCCCGCTATAGCAGGAGCATTGGGGGGTGCGGATAGTAGACCAGAGCAAGATGGGGATGGTTTGGAAGGGAACGGGGAACATTTGTTTGAAGAAGAGAAGAAGTGGATTGCATTTACTTACCTTGTTAGGGAAATTAGTACGAGACGGTAGGTTTTGATACTGCTTTGCCGAATGAGGAGATTGTTGGAAAAGACAGAGCAGCCTTCTGATCTTACCTATGTGAGCAAGTTATGGAGGTTTTTAGGTATGAAGAAGGAAGGACGATAAGAGAACCTCACGGTCGCTGATGAGGGATGAAAATGATGCGTGCTGGAGCCTCGAAGCTTTCGGGGGTTTCTAATGGAGGCTCTCTGGTGCCGTCGAGCTAAAATGGATGCTGGGCAGATCAAGATTGGTGCCCGGCTGCCTTGTAGTTGTTTTGACACTGACAGTTATTCCGCACAAACTTGAGATCTTTTTAGTGGGGAGCTCACTCCGGGCAGCTTGGGCGTGATGTCAACTGCTGTCGGAGGGCGGGGTAAAAGGGGTGAGGATAGTGCGATTACATCAAGGACGCGTTCTCGATAGTTTGGCATTTATATTGAAATAAATCAATTCTCGAGGCCACCGTAGCATCCACCAGGGAAGTTTATATATAGAATAATTATTAGCTGAATCAGAGAAATATGTATGTAGCAGTGATCAGCCAGGCCCTAATAATACGTGAAGCGAAGAGTTAAAATAAAATGAAACTTTGGTATCTACTCAAGGTTAGCAAGCAGCCAACTATTCACGAGCTGTCATGATAGCGATCACGTCTTTGGTGGGGCATCAAAGCATCCAACATTCGATCATGAATAAATGACGGCAGAAGCAACTTACCGAAATCTGCATCATCTATTACTTTGTCTAGGACTTTGAACGTTTCAGTTCATGTGAGTTGGTAAATTATATTGGAAGTAAAGCTCCTGTCTTCCAGGTCCAGAATTACCCCAATCTATGCGTTGTTGTTTGTTGACAGCAATTCATGATGGCCAGCCATGTTTTTTGTGACACTGTTCGGCTGTCTGCCTTAGGCTGCCTTATGTTCAATGACTGCAGGTTTCCTATCAGTTATATTGGATGTCTCATGCAGCAGTCATTCATTTTTCACCCGTAAGTAGGAAAGAAAAAGAAAAAAAGAAAAAGAAAAAAAAGAATCGGAATAAGGAGGATTTGTGATTGCCTCGTTATATCCCGTAACTAGGAAAAGCCGTAGTTTCATGATCCGCCCACTCAACTGAACGATGTTCCATTTTTGGGCCATTCCCAGCGTTTGTCTAGTTGTGCAAGTCATCAATCGTCAATGTGAACTAACTTCATTGGTCCCATTGGGTCAATCTAACATTAATTCTCTGTAAACCAGATATATAAAGACTAACCTTGAAATGACGTCTCATATCACAGCCGTCAAGAGTATACCTTGAATCCTGTCAATGACAGATCGCCATTCAGTTAGTTGGGCTTTTCAGAGTTTGTTCCTGTGGCTTATGACATGTAATCCTGCGCTAGCAAGCAACTCCCCGTCAAAAATCTTGCCCCACTTAATTCGCCCTTCCATTTTACTGCGAATAGCTGCAGGGCTTTTTCAGGCCTCTCATGTCGTTCTTGTAGCCTCGCTTCACTGCTTGAATGAGCATTTTATTAACCTCAGTGACTTGGAACTAACGGTTTGATTGGAGGTCGTTTGTCGTTTCCAACCTCTTTCACGTCACTGAGTGTCATCATGTCTGCTCCCGCTTCCCAAGGCCCTCGTAAGAAGGTTGTGCACCAGCTTGATACCCCTTTCTCTACTGTCTCATGGTATGACCATCTCTTAAAGTTCCAGGCTATGTATGTCTCACACAATTAGGCCCTCGATCTTGACAGAAGATCAAGACACTATCCTCGAATTGTTATGCGAGTAAGTCAAGCTTACAACTAGGCTGAGTCCCAAACATATGTTTCACGAAGGCCATTGAATTCAGAAATCCTTTCTGACATCCACAGCCTCTTGAGCCCCATTGGACAGCATCGCCAGACACACATCAAGAGATCCAAGGGGAAGCGTTCAGCACAAAAGGAGAAAGATGCCAAAAAGACAGGCCATGCTTCAGAACAACCTCCTGTGCCACCAATGCCTGATATAGAAGCCAGCATCGATGTCGGTCTTAACTCTATTACTCGAAATCTGCAGTTGTGTTCGCGGAAAGACACCGAATCAATGGAAGACGAACCTAACCGGCAGTATTCCATGGTCTTTGTAGCGCGGGGCGATCAAGCCTCAACATTCAACTGCCATTTCCCACAGATGATTGGAGCGGCGTCTAGGAATGTTAGTTCTGAAAGGAAGATTCGTCTGGTGGGTATCTCTAAACCATGCTCTGAACGCTTAAGTTCTTGTCTTGGAGTGCCAAGGGTATCATCCATAGCTATTCGCATGGATGCCCCAGGAGCTGCAGCTTTGCAGGAGTTTGTTATGAAGAAAGTCGCGCCAGTAGAAGCCTCGTGGCTTGATGTGTCTTCGGATACGCAATATCTTGCCCCAAAGATTAATGCTGTAGAAACGACGGTGGGGCCTAAACGAGTGCGTGTTGAATAGATAGAGAGATCGATAGCCTAAGCAGGGGGGTATGCATGTATCCTATAGAACTTCGGATCATCTTATTAGCCTATCAGCTGTTTGTTGAACGGTATTGGTAGCTGCATACACTTTGCAAAGGTCTTTCAAACGCCAAGATTATCCCTGGATACCTAAGCAGAGTACAAACCGACATTGGAATACACGAAGGAGACAGCTCTTGCGCATCTTCTCCATTTCCTTTTAAGCAAAGTTGTCATTCTAGGCTGTGGAGTAGAGTGAGCAGTGTCGAGCAGGATATCCTCCGGCGATTCTTAAGTGTCACCGTACATCGCCCTAACTCAACACCACAAGACCGTAAGGATACCGGCAACCCATACAGGAAGGCTTGCAGAGGGCCATAGAGTCACATATAAAGCTAAGACAGTGAATAGGTCTTTCAATTGTAGATAGACTTCATTCTCCTACGATATCCCAACGCCAACCCCTGTAGCTACCAAGTCCACGAACACACCAGCCCGTAGAGTCTCAGGGCGTAATCATTTGTATTTCTTTCAGGAGAGAGATGTAACTCAAGCAAGTTGCGTCTCGTTGATGTTGTTCTAGGTAGAGCAGCCAGTGGACTCTTGCCTTGGTCGCATTACAACACAGCACTACCCCCAAGGACGATGCTACAGTGACTTCACTCAACTATCACTCCTCTGTATTGCTGCCTATACTCAATCCTTCCCCTGAAGCAATCCTAATAGGGCTATTGTTTTCCTTATCCACCAAATTCTGCTCATACCCGTCCACTTGTGGCGGTTGCCGGGCTCCTTCGCTTTCTCTCACCCTCCCCACCCATCCCATCTTTTCTTTCCTCCATCATCACACATCAAAACTTTTGTTTTGATTTCTTTTTCCTTTTATTTTCACGTGTCTTCTTAAGCTATAGAGGTACTTATCAAGAAGACTCGCCTCTTGTTCTATTTCTTTCTTTCCCTGTTCTGCTGGCCGGAGCGAGCGGAAGCTCAGCGCGTCCCTTCTCCAGATCAAAGGCAAGTCACTGCTCCCTCCAAGCCTTCCAGAGATCACTGCCGTCGAGTCATGATACACGCATGTTAAATTCAATGCTTCGGTCGACTAACAGTGAATAGCTCAGACCTTTCGCGTGTCCAGTATAGCCACACCCCAATCTTCGTCGCACAATTGTTGTTGATTACGACTGAGCTCTCCATACCCTCATAAGTCACACTACCAAAGGTCTATAGCATGAATATTTGCCTCGTTTCTATTATCTCTCAGCTAACACCGTCTCATTGCAGTGGCCTCTAAACCATCTCCCATACACACTCCTGGAGTCTTATTGTTACACCAGCCACAGCAACCATGAGCGGCAGAGGGTACCAAGACCCTGGCAAGGTGTCAGATGCTAAGGCACTGCAATTGTTGTTCAAGACCGGGGGCAAGGGTCAGAGCACCATCCCCAAGAAACGACCAGGTAAGTACTTAGACTTTGAAAAACCCTCATCCTACCTAGGATGAGTAAAGCCCCATCCTAAGTTGAAGAGAACCTCACACCAAGCCCAAGAAATCGTTTCGTCAGCCGGGAAGACTAACACATTGTCCTAAGGTCCATCGATGCAAGTCGCGCGCCCAGCACCTGTAACCCAAGGCAGTTCTACTATCCCGTCAACAAAAGATCGGCACTATACGCCGACCCTTCTACCTAACCCTCTAGATCGCAAAGCTGGAGCTATTCTGGGCTCATCAGCTTGCGATTTCCTCGGTCGAAAAGATGCAGCTCCTAAGCTGTCTTCCAATCCTGTCCAGGGCCAAGGCAACAAGGGTGAAGTCGAGCTTCCATTCACTGCATCCACTGCTCCTAAGGCACAGGAGATGTCACCCAGTCCCGCTCAGAAGCAAAGTGAGAAGCTTGATCACAAGCTTCCGCCTACTACAGCCGCGATTCCGATGACTCCCAAGCCGGATTCCAATTCCATTCAGGGGCAGAGCGAGAAAGCTCGGGCTCACGCTCTACCTACCAACCCAACTCCCACTGTTTCTAGGGCTCCTGAAAGAGTCAGCAATCTTGATCTCCTCAGTGGCTTGGCCACTGATTCAGGCAAAACTTCTATCAAAGCCCCAACCGCAGACACGGTTGATCAACCCCAGACGCCAGCTCAGAATATCAATGATTCTGATAAAGAGTTGAAGAGGAAGAGTCTTTTCGACATATTCAATGGCGAAGAATCAGACAATGAACCGGATGGTGACGCTTCTGATGTCCAAGCGAAGGAGGTAGCTATGCATGATTCCAATGCCGCCAACGTTTTGAAGTACTCACCTGACGAACTTTTGAAAATGAAGGCAAATGCAAAGATCGGTGTTCTTCCCCCTGACTGCATAGTCAAGCGTCGTGAAGACAGCGGGAAAACGAACATTGCTGCTGCATACAAATCGGCTACCAGCTTCATTACTCATTCAACTCCCTCTGTATCTAGACCTCAGACAGAGATGACTGAGTCTGTTGTTCTTCATCCCGCTGCTCCGCAAACTTCGCCACAGCAGGCTAAGCTCGACCCTGTTCAAGCTTTCACCGAGGTCAAAGCCGAACCTTTGCAGGTGGAAGAACTTATTACCTTAGAGGAGGTTCGGGGTGAGTCCAAGTCTAAGGATGCAGAGAAGGTGCAGGGTACTGCCCCTTTCGACCACCAACGCTGGATGTCTGGCCTCACGTATGATCCCGCTGCTCTGCAAACTTCTCCGGAGCATGCTAAGCTTGACTCTATTCAAGCTCTCACCAACGCCAAAGCCGAAACTGTGCAGGTCGAAGATCGCGTTGTCTTGGAGGAATTTCAAGGTCAACACGAGTCTCAGGAGCTTCGCCCGCAGGCACCTGGGTTTGTGCCCGGATTGCTGCATGCCCCCTCAGCCACTTCCGTGCCTACCCAAGATGCAACTCTAGCGACAATTGAGTTGAATGGTAATGAGGCCAAGCAGCATGCCTCAACAGATATATTTGGTTCTACTGGCCTTATGGGACTTATTGTCACCACGACGCCTGTCCATCTTTCCAATGGCTTCTTCATCGCCGGCCCTCCAACCAGTCAACTTATGGCCGAGCCACCTTTCAATGGCACCTTCTCGACCGAGCTGCCCCTGCACACTGTTGACGAGAAGGAGGGGGTAGTTCGTGCCCCGAGAAAGCCTACTAAGGGCCTGCGTGCATCTATGTGGGCTAAGTAAGGGAAGGAAGGATATGGTATTCACAGGTTCCGGATAGGATTCTCATAGGGCACAAGAATCGAAGCGTCTCAACTGATGCCAGAGCGTCTAATTGTATGTATCCATGTAAATCAAGCCCATAGTTGGTTTTTCCATACAGGAAGGCAATAGAAAAATACACATGAGTGTAAAACACATCTTAGTTATTGGCTCGTGAACTCAAATTTTAATTAGGGGGGATTTGGATTCCAAAATTAAGTGCACACACAGCGCTGATGTATTTCTACTCATCAAACCATTTACTCGGACATACCCTTCTCTAGTATCTTGACACCCTCTCTGACCTTGGGCGAGTAATGTTTCCTTAACAGTTCGCCCTCCCACACCGTTGCTGTAAACGGGTTGCTACCTTCAACGCTATCGCTCACAGGATTATATCGACCATCTCCCTTGCGCTCCTCGGTATTCCATAGACTACGGACCTTCTTCGAGTGTGTATGCGCTACATCGCTGAGAAGAACCAAAACAGCCTGACACGACTTGTCAGGGAGCTGGAGTGCTGCTGTCATCAGCTGCTTGGAAAAGGCGGCTAGTCGCATGGGAGGTACGGAGCGAATGTTCCAGGGTGGAAGAAGAATGCCGGTCAGTGCTCGGAGGAGAAGAACTGTTGTGGTCTGGACATTGATCTTGGTGGTTGCGTTGGTTGCGTTGGTAGGGCGTGTCAGCTCGACATCGGGGTTTGTTGAGAGTGTGAGAAGGGACTTAAAGAGGTGTGTTGTAAAGAAGGAGAGGTCGAGATGAAGATCGTTGCGCGAGTTGTGAGCGTCTTGACCTTCGAGCAGGGCGTATGCTGTGACGGTACAGAGAAGAGCCTCTCGGGTTAGGTTGCGAACGGGGATATCATCATCGTCTTCTTCATCCTCCTTACCCTCCTCATCATTGGGGCCCTCAGCGGCGTCTTCTTCACTGTGTCGGATAAGATCCTTGAGCGCTTCTAGCAGATCACCAAAGAAGTCCTGGTTGATGAGATGGGCGTACTTGGCAAGACCTTCAAGAACAGCACCCATGAGATGAGGCATGCGTAGCTTCAGAATGCGGAAGTAGTTTGCAAATACAAGTTTGAGCGTCTCGGACTGCATACGATCACGCTCCTCGTGACTGAATGATGCATCTGCGTTGGCCATGTCCTTGTCTAGGGCCTTTTGCTCCTTGAGTGCCTTGCGATGTCGCTTGGTTCTAAACTCCTTCTTTTTCCTCTTGAGGGGTGCATCATCATTCTCGACGCGGTCTTTGGATGCCTTACCCGAGAATTCGGAGAGGAGACGCAGGCTTAGGAAGAGGTTCACAACACTCTCGTCGACCTGAAACTCGCGAGCCTTCATCATCTTGGAAAGTAGAGCCACCGCATCATTTGTCGGTCGCCCTTCTTCGTCCTCCTTGAAAAGCGTCTGAAGAGCCTCTAGACACTTGACGCCATCTTGATTAATCTTGCGCCGGCTGAGCTTCGTAACAAGAATCTTGAGCAAATCTGTGCGGAAGTTGAAGTGTGGAACCGACGTGACGAGAGTGCAGGCACAAGTGATAGCGATAGTAGCCAAACTCTGTCCGCCTTTTGCAGCCCTGACCTCGAGCTTGGAACATCGAGCAAGCTCCTTGATGTAGTTCTGATATCCAGAAACGAGAGCTTGCTCATACTGTCGCAATGTGCGCACTTCCTTGGATAACTTTTCCTTGGGTCCGTTCTCAGTCTGGGGACGTATACGGTATCCAGGAATAACATCCTTATAGACGGACATTTGGGTCATGAGGGCAAGCATCTGGATGGCAATGATCTTAGATTGCCCGATCTTGGCGAGGGCCTTGAATGCGCCGACATGTTCCTCTGGGTTCTCGTTCATTTGCATAGCAATCTTTGCTAGCTCTTCCTGTGCGGCGAGAATCTGCTGGGGCTCTGGGATCTCAGGCTCTTCTTCTTCCTCGTCCTCCTCAGGCTCCTCCACTTCATCCTCGCGGCCATCTAGCCATTCAGTGTCGCTCTCAATTGACGCCGTCTCATCGTCTTGTCCTTCAGCTTGCTCAATTCGACCATCTGCTGTCTTGATGGGGAGCCTGTTGCTCTCCTTTTGCTTCTTGCCTTTGCGTGGGCGCGTCTCATAGTCTTGTTCGAGATTCCAATTTGAAGCGTTCTTAAAGAAAGACTTCTGAGCGCTTCTTGAGTTGTTCTGATCTTGAGTCTCATGATCAGCAGAATCATGAGCGATCTTTCTTCGTTTTGTGCCGTTTTGTGCCATTTTTCTGTATTTCTTCCAGTTTATGGCACGAGATAAATGCGCCTCTTGAAGGGTTTGTCGTCTTCTCTCTCATTGATTTCTGCGAAAGTTGACAAGATCTTGTGGGGCCGATAGCAAATCGCATTCGTTGATTGGACGAGATGCTCACTCACCGCCAAAAAGTTGGACTTTTCTGCCGGACAGAAATGCCCCTCTACCAAATTATTTCCCAGCCGCAGTGTTTCGACCGTGTCTAGTACTCAACTCGATCTACTCTGTCAAATCGCCACAAATGGGTTTCACAAAGCCGCCTGTTCAGGCGCTCAAGTCTTCCAACAAGCTCAAGCGAAAGGAGCTCTTCGTCCAGTATAAGAAGCACCAGAACAAGGAGAGACATGAGGAACGACACCGTCGTCGAAGGGAAGAAGCAAAGGACCCTGAGCTCAAGGCAGCCCGTCTAGCTAAGCGCAAACCTGCAACGATCGACTCAAAGCGAGTATGGGATGACATAGACGATGACAGTCTTGGTGTGCAGGTGGACCTCGAGAAATTGAAGCGGCGCCGCATTGAAGAGGCCGAAGCAGCAGAACAGGCTGCTCATGAGGCTGCTATGCGCGCCGAGGAAGAGCTGGACGAGGATGATGACGTTGACAGTATGTTGGCTTCGGATGAGGAGATGGACGAGGAGCGACAGGCTGCGCTGGAAAAGAAGCGTCAACGCAGGGCACAGCGAGATAACAGTGTTGCCCCATCCACAACAAGCACAAACCTTGACTTGACGCCAACGTCACTGGCCCTCAAGTTTCCGTCTCTTTTCACCGATGTACCGGCTCCTGAGCCCAAGATTCTGGTCACAACATCTATCAACTCTACTCTCCACGAACAGGCCCATGTTCTCTGCGAGTTCTTCCCCAACAGCTCTTACGTCCCCCGGTCGGCCCATCGATACGGTCATAAGTATTCGCTCCGAGAGATTTGCAAGTACGCCTCAAATCGAGCGTACACAGCTGTAATTCTCCTTAAGGAGGACTCCAAGAAACCTACAGGTCTCACAGTTGTGCATCTTCCTTCCGGCCCGACCTTTCATTTCTCCATCACAAATTGGATCGAAGGCAAAAAGCTTCCCGGCCATGGAAACCCAACAAATCACTACCCTGAACTGCTTCTCAACAATTTCAAGACACCACTTGGCCTGTTGACAGCCAAGCTGTTTATGACCTTATTTCCACCTAAGCCCGAGTTCCAAGGTCGCCAGGTCACTACGCTCCACAACCAGCGAGATTACATCTTTGTGCGACGACATCGTTACGTTTTCCGAGAAAAGCGACAGACAGAAAAGAGCATCGTCGGTGCCGATGGAAAGGAGGTTAAGGGTGTGGAGGGTATCCGTGCTGGTCTGCAGGAGCTTGGTCCCCGCTTCACCCTCAAGTTGAGGAGAGTTGACAAGGGTATTGGAAGAGCTGGAAGTGAGGGTGATGATGCGACACAGTGGGAGTGGAAGGCCAAGATGGAGAAGGATCGCAAGAGGTTCAACCTATAATTGTTACTCTAATAGTGAGTTGGTAGTCCTGGCGCTTGGCGTTCTTGAACTTGAGCCGGCAATACAATACAAAGATAACGAAGACATCATTCAAATCGAGCCCCTGGCCGCTGCCATGCCTTCTTCCTGCCCATTTCTGTGTAACGTGTTCTTCGACCAGCGATGCTTCACAGCACTATTCGCTGGCGTCCGGGGACTCTGCAACCACTGCTATTCAAGTCAATCATGTGTTTAACAGCCTGCAAGGTGAACCTACTTGGGGACAGCTATTTATCATGTCCACAAAGTGAAGAATAGGGGTAGTACTATTCAATTTTAGTCAGTACCACAGCCAGTAGGCCTGGACGAAGATGGATACTCACCGGCATGGCAGTAGACCGCTAGCCCTCCACAGAATCCGTGGAAGGGCATAAATCATAACGCTATGGACTCAGGGAATAACCCCGAAATTCATAAAAGAAGAGTATCGAATTTACGGAGGTAGGGCGCCTAGAACGCCGAAAATCCAAGAAGAGGCGCACGGGAAGCGTCTGTTGCTCGGATCATGGAGGGGAATGAACTCATGCAGAATCCCTATCTTCAGCTCCTTGGGGCCCTGCGGGAGAGTAGACGAGTGTGGCAGTTCGGGAATCGACATCTCTCAGAGGGTTTGGAGTCGAAGGCCTGGGAGTTGGCCTTTGATCCAATATATGGTCTTTTACCTTGTCAGTCACCTTGAGAATCATAGTCGTGAGGAGAAGGACTTCTGGGATTTTACCTGCAGAATCATTGGCCCCATTTTGGAGTTCAATAGGATGTTGCGAGCGGCTTCGTATGTAATCTCCGTAATATGCCTGTAGCTCGTCTATGGGTCCGCATACAAGTTTCTTGATAAGGAGGAAGAACCTCCTGAGCCGGAGGCGGATGTACCCTGCGGATAAACTTAAACCTGTATGGAAGATGACGTTACTCTCATCGAACAGGTCTCGCATCACGATTGGGTCTTGACATATAATCCTCTTGGTGAAGAAAAAGAACATCCTGAACCGCAGGCAGGGCGGGTCGACGGATGACATTTTGTCTGTTTTCTGAAACCGATTGTGAAGATGGAAGCGAAGAGAAATGTTGCTAGAAGTGATGATAAGCAGGTGATAATGAACGATGATAGTACTCTGTGAGTTGTTGATGAAGGAGAAGACTCTTATACTTAAGACAGTCCTTAGGTTAGTGTTGAGCAGGCCCATGAGTGCTTTGTTATTTCGAGGGAAGAGCATTTGGGTTAGAAAGTACTACCTAAGGTAGTAACACCCGTGTACGATACAAGTGCTAGGTCTCGCGGAAGTAGCATTCGAGAAAGGCACATTGATGAATACGTTATCAAGGAAGTTGTGAGAGTTGATCAATGTTTGACGATGGTCGGCAGTGACCTCCGAGACAACAATGACGGTGGTTTCCATATATCAGGTAGGTATCAAAGGTAGATACTTCCATAGGTAGGTCAGGTAGTAGGTCAGGTAGTAGGTCAAGGTAAGTTGGGAAACAGTACTCTCCCAGGCCTTCCACGAAATCAAGATATCATGAGCAGGACACAGTGAAGTCACTTGATAGGGATCGACACGTCATTGATCATGCCGTTCACCTAACCTCGGGTATTCATGGACTTTAAGTACATACCTATGATCGTGGATATGAACTATGAGCTTCTAGAGTCGTGGAGATGGGCAAAGAAGCATTTCATTCATGGGCAATAGATATAGCTACTAGGTAGGTAGTTGGGTGCTCAAGGTCATGTTCTTGCTGTTGGCTGAGTATATCTAGCTCTTAGGGTAATTTACCTAGCCTCACGTTCCTCAGCAACACGATACTATGGATGTTTATTCTGGCTGAGCCCATAAATGACTGAGCACTATGGTTGGAAGCCGGAAGTCATGTCCCTAGGCAGTGGACGGTAGACAGTCCTGGCCATGAGTATCAAAATGGTTATACGGATATAGGGAGGCGCTTTAGTCTTCAGACCCTGCTCTTCGACTATGCGCTTGAGAGCTGTCAGAATGTCAATCGAGCCCACCCCTTGAAAGTCCACGAATGGCGTAGACTCGGAGTGGGAGCCATGACCCTGGTTGACGTGGCCCTTTCAGGATATCATATCCGCGATCGGGTCAAGGTCTTGACGATGATATATGCTCCACTGCTACAGTCCATCCAAGTCGCTTTGGGATTGTTGGTGAGGGGAAATCATTCGATATGCTGGCAGTTGCGGGAATACAGGAATATCCCATGTCATTGTAAACGATGTTTATAAAGCGGAAGATCTCTCCCGGCCATTGTTACAGCCGCAAGGGTTAAGCGGGGAGTCCGAAGCCACGCTCTGCTCATGATGGATGTTAATAACGGACTTCAAAGGTAGTAGAGGAGGATGCCCAACGATTCTAGTCCACTTCAATATGGATGAGGTTCTCTTGCCTTCCCGGATTATATCAGACCTCATGTGAGAGGCCTATTGGCGTCCCATCGATAGTAAATACATTCAGAGCTCGACTGATGTCTGTTTGAGGACGCAAGTAACGTTACTTTTAATAATCACCTAATTATTCCGAGGCAATGCACCTAATGTGGCAAAGGCATAATTAATGCTTGCCAAAAAAAAAAAAAAAAAAAAAAAAAAAAAAAAAAAAAAAAAAAAAAAAAAAAACTCGACAGGAACCGTTGTAGTTGTGAAGCGATATTAGTTAGATAGGTAGTGAGTTAACTATAAATTGAAGCGAGCTTGACATTCAATAAGCTTGGCTTTGATAGTGTTTACATACTGCGGGTCTTGCCGTTGAAAACGGTGAGAACGTTAGTTGTTGTGTACCGTTCGCTTGACGGGCAGAAAACACCAAAAGAGGAACAACAGGGAAGCAAAGTATAATAAACAGAACAACTGGGGTCATGGAGAACATATGGTATAGATATGAAGTCTTGAGTAAGATCGGCATGCATCATTGTGTTTATAACTCCCTTGCCTACTAACTCCAACTCCCATATCACAACATTTTAAACACTTGAGTTGTGGCGCAACGTTCCTTTCCAGGAACTAGCGCCACATCTCACCAGTGGTTTGACTCAATTAGTGAGGTGGCGTTACAAGTTAATTGTTCTGTACAGTGGACAAGCCACGCTAGAATTCAACGTCTCTTCGTGTTCTGGGAGATTTGCCTCATTAACTCGTTTTGATTGCTGACAACTATTAACGAAAAACTTCAACAGTGTTACACAAGATAATTTATTCGTATTCTAGACCAAATCTCTTTGTCAAAGATCTCCTCCCTTCATAACCTGAGCCGAGGGATTGCCCCTTACATATCCCCTGTCCCTGTCTCCCCATGACCCATCACCTGTGAGTGGTTTGCGACAATTAAAATCCTGGCTGTTCATGACGCAGGTAGCTTTGTCTGCATAACAGCAGAGACTCTTCCATCCAAGTCGATGTCAATGCTCTGATATATCCTGCTTTAAACAGGCAGACTCAAATATCCTACGACGAATATGACGGCCTCCTCTGATCAACCGCAAACTAACGCTGACGCCAGTGGTAAGCCACCCAACTTGACATCTCGTCATCCAAGCAAGCTATATAAGCGAATGGATGAGCTATAGACTAACCGATGTGTCTAGTTGGGACAAATAACCACAGCAAACAAAGCGACATTTGGAAGCATGCCCCTGTGCTCATTGGCACAACCAAATTTGAGCCTCGCTCCGATGTTAAAAACATCATGATTACAGGTGGCGCTGGCTTCATGTGAGTGACGTCCTGGCACGCCAAGCTCTACTCCACTGACGGTTTATTTCAAGCGCTTGCTGGGTCGTCCGCCATCTCACTTTGACATACCCACATGCCTATAACATTGTCTCATTTGATAAGCTAGACTACTGCGCTGCTCTCAATAACACAGGCGTTCTAAGTGAATCTTCCAACTTTACCTTCTATCATGGCGACATCACCAATCCAGCCGAGGTGGTTGACTGTATGGAGCGATACAATATTGATACAGTTCTACACTTTGCCGCCCAGTCACATGTGGACCTGAGCTTTGGCAACTCTTATGGCTTCACACACACAAACGTTTACGGAACTCATGTTCTCCTTGAAAGTGCCAAGAAGGTTGGCATTGGCCGCTTCATTCATGTATCGACTGATGAAGTGTACGGTGAAGTTAAAGAAGACGACGACGACCTTCTTGAGACGAGCATATTGGCTCCCACAAATCCATATGCTGCCAGCAAAGCGGCAGCTGAGATGTTAGTGCAGTCTTACCAGAAGAGTTTCAAATTACCTGCCATCATTGTGCGGAGCAACAACGTCTACGGTCCTCATCAATACCCGGAGAGTGAGTCAGAAAGCTGCTTACCGCATGATGCATGCCCAAGATTCTAACCGTTCTCAGAAATTATTCCCAAGTTTACATGTCTTCTTAACCGTCAGCGGCCACTGGTTCTGCACGGAGACGGCACGCCTACCCGGCGATATCTCTACGCTGGCGACGCAGCTGATGCGTTTGACACGATTCTCCACAAAGGTCAGATTGGCCAGATTTACAACGTCGGTTCACAGGATGAAGTATCCAATCTAGAGCTCTGCGGGATGCTGCTCGACCGAATGAGGATTCCACACGATGCCCCAGAGCAGCTCCGCAAGTGGATCAAGTACACTCGGGACAGACCCTTCAATGACCGCCGATATGCAGTCGACGGTACCAAACTAAAGAGGCTTGGTTGGGAGCAGAAAGTGTCAATTGACGAGGGCCTCAAGATCACAGTCGATTGGTTCACGCGGTTCGGAGAGACGTGGTGGGGAGATATCAGCCATGTTCTCACGCCGTTTCCTACGGTGAGTGATGGAGAGATGGTTCCGGATGACGCACGATCAATGCGTGATGAACCCCTTGAGTCTCAAGATATACGACAGGGCAAGCTGCCGGAACAGCACAAAAAGGATGATATGAGTGGTTGTCGAGAAGTACAACAGAACGGTGAGGATACAAGTGGGCTACATCAAAACAACGGCAGTGGTTATCAAATTACCGCTTAACGACCGCCATTTTTTCTCGGGGTTTCTTTAAATGCATTTTGACAATAGAACAGACAGAAGATGAAAGACATAGATACCACTTATAACGGGGCTGATAGACGAAGTCCGGAAGCTGGAGCAGCAAGTTAAACCACCTGAAAGGATCTTAAATATATGCCTAATTTATCGGGATACCTGTTTGTGCGCATGCCGGATGGGTTAGAGCACGTAGCAATTAAATTGATGATGATAACTATCACCGGCTTCCATATTTGTAGGTCAAGCTCGACACCGCAGCATTGGCATACTAGGGGAGGCAAGAAAACTTAGTATCTATATCCTAAACGATAAAACAATTAGGTAAGTTTAGTATAACTTAGTAGGTCTTTAGACTAGTTATTTTTTGGCACCCTTATCAAGTGTCAGAAGTTTTCTTGCTCCCTGAGGGCATAGTATCAACAGCTTTGAGAACAACTCAACTTCGGATCCTCAAAGCTCTCTCAACAACCAATAAGCTCCCCTTGTAACTGCAGGAACACAGCGAGAACAAAAATGCAACAATACGTAGCCAATAGCCACAATTAATGACGCGTTCTCCTGCATGATGCATCACTAACTGGGGCAGACAAAAAGAAAAATCAAGCCAGAAAATCAGGGGTTATCCTCCCAAAGGCCCGGTATCATATGCAAATGCAGAGACAACGCCAACACACAGACGCAAACGCAGTCTCGGGCAGACACCAAGTCCAAGCCAGCGGGTCGGGGAGAGGCTAAACTCCGCGGCGCCGGGCCGACAGTCTAAAGCGTCCCGGGAAACTCTGACAGCGCAGAACAAGAGGCAACAGTTTGTGTGATACGTGGTGAAGTTCTTTCACTCTACGGACTCTCCAGCGAATGGGATCACGGCGGGACGATCCCAGACTAGGGAGGGTTTGACATTTTTTTGTCGATGCCCAATGTGAACCGACCTGCCGGATAAGGGACAAGGGAAAGGTTATCCGGGGATGAGGATTTTTAGTGATGGTGTTGATGTTGGTGACTATTTTTTTAACTGCCGAAATGTTGATAGGCAGACAGGTGCTAGACTTTTGAACTATGCGGAGAGTAGGAAGAGGTTCCAATTGGAATCAGTGGCATTTGGGTTGCACTAAAGAGTTTGACAGGGCGGGAGGGCTTTGATTAATTGCCTCTAACTTGGGGCTTGGGTCAAAGGGTAGAGGGGACGGGCCGCTTCAAGATGCGAGACCTAGACACTGACTAGAATTTGATGAGTCGATGATTGGTAAGTGAGTTACAGTAGGTACAAGCAAGTCTGCGAGAACAGCGAGGCTATCCTTGTCGTATCAGTACCCAATTCCGCATGTATGTAAAAGTCGATTGTCAAGGTTGTTGTTCATCGACCGTTTTTCTCTCCGACGATGTGGAGTTATGTAACTTACACCCATGACCCGAGGAAGACGCGGGTAACCGTAGTCAAAGAGTCTTCTTTCTATTGAGTAACAACAACATGGAGACATGGGCGACAAACCATATGCTTTATACGAAATCTCTATTGTCGTTATATCTTTCCTTAGTATGCGATGACACGATTCCGGCTCGACATCAAGACACAAGGTAACAGAAATCTCGTACTTGAACACCGACTCATGAAAAGACCCGCATTGACGCTTATCTGAATCGGGTTTAACTCTTGTCTGGATTCTGAACCCTGAAGCAACTGTGTATTCCCTGCTGTTGCACTGCTCCACTACCGTGGGATGATGGGCCAGGAGCCAGGTTCCCTGAGGGGGAAACTTTAGCATTCCGAAGAGAGCAAGTTTCTGTGTTGCTCGTTGCTTGTAAGAGCCTAGGTTGGGCTGGAACTTGCCGTGGTGCTGCTTCTGAGGACTTCTATGGGGTGACACTACGGATGAGAATACCTAATCCACGCATTCTTGTGAGATGAGGTCGTACAGATACTATGTGAATAACAGTTGAGAAACATACCTAGGTAGGCACGGTTAGCCATGCACCATGGACCTTCAATAGTCCACAGAGGCTTAGGGCCCAGGCATTCCTCTTCTACCCCGGTAGCCGGGGCCGTTTGACAAGCAGAGCCAAGCAGCCAAGCAGCCAAGCTCACCGGAGCAACATCATTCCGAGAGCAGGTGCAGAAACATCCATGGAGCGAAGAGTCCGTGTTTAGGATATATGCGACGGGTTAAAGGGCCAGGTACGCTTAGAGTGCCGGGAGCTGAGGAATGGATAAACCTCCACCTTGACTGTCGAATCGCATAAACGGACAGTAATGGAAAAACGGCCGTCAGAAGAATACAACGTTTCATGATTTATGTTCTCTTTGAGTTAAGGATATGGATATACTTCACAGGGTTGCCACGGCCTTCCGTTACCAGTATTGCCAAGCTCGAGAAGGTCGTAAGGATTGGGGTTCATATATTTAGATTTGATCTGAACCAACAGTTATAAGTGCTGTATTGTTACTGCATTGCATATGCATGGACAATAAGACGCCCCCGCCGCTACTCTTGGTATACATATAATATCCCAAGTTTGGAGCTCTTCAATTTCAACTTCAACACCTTCTCTAGAGTTGACAACTTAGCCTAGCTCGTCAGTCCCTTGTCAAGAAACAGCTAGCGTCTACCACCGTCAATACCAGAGACTTGTTGTCTAACCACAAACGTTGTCAACCGACCGGCATATCCTTGTCTCCCAGAAGCAGCGCAGTGGCAGAACCAGAGGCAGAACCCCCCTTGCACCCGATCCTTGGATCTCTCTCTTCCTCCACTTTTGTTCTGTTCTGTCTGTTCAACAGGAAAAAGAAAACCTCGAGTTGTTTCTGTTTCTGTTTTGTCTTTCAACCCAACGACCGTACTAGTTGCTAGCTCTGACTCTAGTCTAGTGTGTTCCCCGGCTTTTCCTCTCTGTCGGTGACTCAGCTTAACTTATCTCTTCCCTCTTTCTACTTCAGACTATTCGTTAACTGACCATATACAATTTGTCTGCCTTTTTCTACGGATCCCTTCCGGTTCCCTCAGACCCTTGTCCACGTTTCTTGGTCTGTGCTCACGGGCCTTCACCAATCCCCAGGTCTTCTTCCTTCTTGAAGTCTTGGATCCTCCACTCTCCTTCACAAATACCTACTGTACGTCGTCTCTCATCCATAAGTGCTTTGTTTGTGCTTTGACGGCTGCTACTGCCGCTCGGGTTTCTTAGCCCTCGTACGGACGGTGTTGAAACAAAGACGACAACCTCGCTCTCGCGAATAAACCGAACCTAACTAATCCGGTTTCTTTGCCTCAACCTCTTATCCACCACATCTTGAACCATCCTCCGTCATCGCGACAGCAACAACGAATCATACTTGGGCCCGAACTTTGTCGCCCGCGCCGCTCGTTTCAGCCTCATTCCGCGACCTCAAGCCATGTCGCTAGCCAATATCGCATCCATTCAATTATCATAGTTGTTATTATCGTTCCTTTCCTCTCTCTAGATACCCATGGCCAAAAAGCGAAGGACCAAGCAACGCAAAAGTACACGGGGACGTCACAACCAGTCTCAGACGAGCACAATGTCCTCGGAGGATTCGTACGCTGTACAGAGCGGCCGACAATCTAGCGACGGTACACCGAGTGAGCATGCCAATAGCGACGGAAATAACACAGCCATGACCAGTATTATGGGTACCGATGAGGAGCATCACCACGATGAATCCGACCTCGATGAAGATGTCGATGAAGACGACATGATATCCATATATCCCGCTTCTCAATATCCCAGAGTCACTGCTTCACATCGTGTAGAGACCCCATTCTCTCCAGACTCCCATGCGGTAGACTCGGACATGTAAGCGACATATCTTGTGCTACATTTCTTGCCATGACTAACATATGCTAGGGCTGCATCGACACGATCGTTATGGGCGCAAGACCTCGACTACCGAGAAATCCACGGTCGGCGCTACTGTCGCGAATACTATATGCCAAACGACGACATCGAACAATGGAGAATGTCTCTTCAACACCAAGTATTTATGCACGTCCTCGACGGTGAACTCACCCTTGTCCCTCTACAAAACCCCGAGCATATTCTCGATATTGGCACGGGAACAGGTGAATGGGCAATCAAAATGGCCGAGTTACAACCCCAATGTGAAGTTGTCGGAACCGATATCGCTGCGATAGCCGAGACCAAAAGTGTGCCCATGAACGTCTTCTTCGAGATTGAAGACGCCGAGGATTGGGATCGCCACCCCGATATGTACGACCTGATTCACTTCCGACTCATGGAGGGCGCATTTCGGAACTGGAGCTTCGTCTACGACAACACGTTCTTTTCTCTCAAGCCTGGTGGTTGGATTGAGGTTCAAGATTTCGTGAGCGCGGAGGGCTTTACACAATTCTTCTCACAGTTTCCCGACAACTCTGCCACGCACGAATTGCTGCGAGACCTCGCGATCGCTTCGGAAAAGTCGGGGCGCCCACGAGGCACATATCATCTCGAGCCGCGGCTGCTCATGGAGGCAGGCTTTGTCGACGTGCGGGTTACGGAATACTCTATTCCTATTACCATTGCCGAGGCATCTGCAGGCAAGATCTGGCTTATTTCATGTTTAGACAGCTTCGAGGCACATTGCTTGCGTTTGTTGACAGAGTACATGGACTGGGACCCTGAAAAGTGCAAACAGGCTTGTGAAGCTGCTGCCCGAGACTTGGCGAACGCAGCCAAGGACCCCGAGAAGTCGAAGAGCCTTCAAATCAAGATGCGTATTATCATTGGCAGAAAGCCCCTCGATGCGCCGCCTACGGATCTTGCAGAATTCCTCGAGAGGAGTTACTCACCAGTAACAGAACTGAACGGCAACAGTCCTGATCCTACGCTCCGCCCAGATGACCAAACAACTGCAGGTCGAAGCTGAGTCGGTGGTATCAACTTAAGGGCATGAAGAAGCTTAATTCTTGGGCGGCTCCGCGGCTTTGCTTTATGTGCGACTGGGTTTGGCGCAGACTTTCTTTTTGGGCCGGCGTTGCAAACGGATGACGACTCATTTTTTTAAACATTTATCTGTACATTCTTCAGCATTCGATCTAGGGATTGGTTATCCTTTGAAATACTCATGGACGGCGCTCTGGTGTACACAAGACTTGTTCGTCTGATAGCTATTGAGAGCTTTAGGCATGACGCGTTATGTAAAAGACACTTGGACTGGTTAGACAGACATGGGGAGAATATGTGTATCAGTACACTGACAATATAATCTTTTTAGAGTCAGAACGTATGCCACCTCTGATTCATTAAGCATTAGATTAAAATTATATAGTTACAGCCCGGGTAATGCTGATAACAAAAGCGTGGTGATGTAATATTTCGGGTGTCTGTTGCTAGGAGCGAAATAGCTGCCTTAGCCCCCAGGTGGGGAGCTATTCTACATGCAGGGCCGTCCAACCACCAACTTCGTCACCGTCAACACCAACTCTGGCTCCCATTCCCATCAACCAGCTTCAGCGACCAGAGCCAACTTCTACAAACCCCGTTCATCGAGCTCAAATTAGACGTCTAGCAGTGCGCAAGACGCAAAACCACCTTCCACATCCCCGATCGCCGAATATGCGCCTGTGAGACCGCGACAATATGGCCCTGGATCTCCAAGATGGCTTCGTCGCCGCCAATGGCGTCCCAGACCTCGAAGAGCCCATTTTCACCATAGAGCGCGTCCAGTTACAGTTCTCAGTAGCGGCCGACTTTGTTGCTGCGCAGGTTGCCAACAACGTCATCGTCCTCGCCCTTTCCAATGGACGCATTCTCCGTATTGATCTGGAACGACCCGAGGATATTGATGGTGAGCAATCGAGCGATGTATCGTGCGGCTAGTTATGGTGACTGATTGTGCAATGCTGTAGATATTGACCTTCCCAAAAAGCCTTCCGAGATTGGTATGATAAGGCGTATGTTCCTCGACCCTACAGCATCACATCTGATTGTTTGCACTGCGCTCGGCGAGAACTATTACCTCCACTCCCAATCAAAACATCCTCGGCCACTTGGGCGTCTCCGAGGCGTTTCGATCGAGAGTGTGGCATGGAGCCCTTCGTTACCGACAGCGTCGACACGCGAGATATTGATTGGTGCATCCGACGGCAACATTTACGAGGCCTTCATTGAGACGTCAAAGGAGTTCTACAAGAAGGAGGTGAAGCACTTGAAGAATTTACATAAACTTCCTGACGGACCGATTACGGGATTATGGGTGGATAATCTCCAGAATAACAAGTCAGACCTTCGACGAGTTGTGATAGGTACTCAGACACGCTTGTTTCACCTGGTCGGAAGGATAGGGTTTGGGCATGATGGCTCAGGGTCTGTATACACTCGATTGTTCGAGTCAGAGCAGCCTGTTGTTCATGAGTTGTCCCGGACGACCTCAGGAGCACCTTCGAGTCTAGCGGTGTCCCCAGACCCCCCGGATTCTGGTCCTTACGATGACGACATTCCTGATAGAGCATACGCATGGCTATCGTACCAAGGCGTGTTCCACGGTAAATTATTGAACCAGCCTGCAGACAGCAACCTTGGGACCAAGGTCTTTTCAGAATCACATATGCTTTCTAGAGCTCAGATCCTCTCCCCTGAGAATAGCGAAAGACGAGTCCCGACAACTGAGCCAATCGATGCAATCGCACTCACACAATGGCATATTGTCCACTTGGTTGGAGGTCGTGTCATTACAACGAACCGCCTCACTGGAAAGATGGTGTCTGAGCATGATGTTATCGGTCAGGGACAGAAGCCTCTCGGGTTCTCTGTGGATATCCAAAAGAACACATTTTGGCTATTTACATCAGATGAGATATTCGAGATTGTGGTCCGAGATGAGGAGCGCAATATTTGGGAGATCATGACTAAACTGAAAGAGTTTGAGCCAGCTCTGCAACATGCTCGAACACCGCTACAAAAGGAAACAGTCGCGGCTGCATACGGTGATCACTTGGCCAAGAATGGACACTGGCTCGAGGCTGCCACCGTCTATGGCCGCAGCAACAAGCCTTTTGAAGATATTGCACTGAGCATAATCGACAACAATCAACCAGATGCCTTGAGAAAGTTCTTACTGACGAAATTAGCTTCGCTCAAGAAATCGGCGGTGATGCAGCGTATGATGATCGCGGGATGGTTAATCGAGGTCTTTATGTCCAAACTCAACTCGCTGGATGATACCATAAACACACAAGCTGAGCCAACGGAGCATCTCAACTCGACTGAATCGCGAAAGCGTCTCGAATCTGCCAGGAAAGAATTTAGAGACTTTGTCGACAAGTATAAAAACGACCTCGACCGGAAAATGGTCTACGATGTCATCAGCAGCCACGGCCGCGAAGGAGAGCTTCTATACTTTGCGAATGCGGTTAACGACTACAACTACGTTCTTTCTTACTGGGTACAGCGAGAGAGATGGAACGAGGTCCTGAATGTTCTCAAAAAACAGACGGATCCTGAAGTCTTTTACCGGTATAGCAGCGTACTTATGACATATGTAGCGCCGGAACTAGTCGAGATTTTGATGAGGCATTCTGATCTGAAGCCTCGAAATCTCATCCCAGCCTTTCTTGAGTACAACCGTACATTCACGGGAGGTCCCAATGCACAGAACCAGGCTATCAGATACCTCAACTATGCGGTCTACCAGCTTAACTCGAAGGACGCTGCCGTGCACAACACTCTCGTCTCGATTTACGCTTCTCACTCCTCCAAGGACGAATCAGGACTTTTATCATACCTGCAAGCACAAGGTGATGAGCCGCGCTACGACCCAGATTTCGCCCTTCGACTTTGCATTCAACACCACCGAACATTATCTTGCGTTCATATCTACACTAGTATGGGACAGTATCTTCAGGCTGTTGACTTGGCGCTTTCTCATGGTGAAGTCGAGCTTGCAGCAGTCATTGCTGATCGACCCATGTCAAATCCGCAACTACGCAAGCGATTGTGGCTTGCGGTGGCTCGAAAAGTCATTTCTCAATCGAATGGAATTAAGACAGCTATTGAATTCCTCAAGAGGTGTGACTTGCTCAAGATCGAGGATCTTATTCCTTTCTTCCCTGATTTCGTTGTCATCGATGACTTCAAAGAGGAGATTTGCGCCGCGCTGGAAGATTACAGCCGTAATATTGATAACTTGAAGAAAGAGATGGATGAGTCGTCGCAAACTGCAACAAATATCAAGGTTGACATTGCTGCACTCGATCACCGATACGCAATCGTGGAACCTGGAGAGAAGTGTTATACATGTGGGCTGCCGCTGTTAAGCAGGCAGTTCTTTGTCTTCCCCTGTCAGCATTCGTTCCATTCCGACTGCTTAGGGCGCAAGGTCCTGGAGCAATCGGGCGTTGGAAAGTCTACACGTATCAGGGAACTTCAGACACAAATACAGAAGGGTTTGGTCAGTGGCACTCAGAGGGAGACTGTCGTGGCGGAGCTGGATGCTCTTGTTGCTTCTGCTTGGTATGTTGGTGTTTCCTCTCGCAATTTCACAGCTAACATTCTACAGTATTCTTTGCAGTGACCTGGCAATCAAGAGGATTGATGAGCCTTTCATTACGCATAACGACAACGTCAACGAATGGGCATTGTAACAAGAGGAGGACAGGAACAGGATCACGAGAGAGAAGAGCCTGTGTACTTGTGGCTGCCTTGTCATTATCTTAGATCTGCATATACCCCCGCAACATTTATTCAGTACAATTGACGACGGCCTTGATTTGCAAACTATGGCCTAACATCGTATGAAGCAATCGCGCTCTGTTTTGTATGTCTCAATACCTGCATTCGGTTACACGATCGGTGGAACGAGTTAGCATAAGGATGGACACAATGACACCGTATAAGCCTAGAACCTCGGCAAAGATGAGGATGAGGACCATTCCGATATAGAGACGTGGCTGCTGCGAACTTGCACGAACTGGGGGTTGTTAGACAATTATCACGAGTTTTCAAGTTTGCTGCCTTGAGTCCAGGAGTGAACATACCTCCGGCATCACCAACAATGCCAATAGCAAAGCCAGCAGCCATGCCGCATAATCCTACGGAAATGCCAGCACCGAGCTGCAAGAACGCCGTGTGGATAGCCATCTTTTCTTTGATGTTGTTTGACATGATGACACTTGCTACGAGACCGTAGATAGACAGGATCTGGGCCATGATGGCACACAAGCTAAATGTGTCAGCCACTGTTTTATTAATGTTGAGTTCATCCTCTCGTACGTGTTTTGCATCATCATGTCGGGACGGAGGATGCCAGATTGGAAGATTGCGCCGGCGGACTTTGCGGTGCCGTATGCTGCACCGAATGTTGTGAAGACAATAGAACACGCGCAGCCAATGGCGCCAAAGAAGGACTGTTCATATGGAATTAGAAGGGGTTTTTTATTGGCGAAGGGTTACGTACGGCATACACGGGACTGAGAAATATTGTGTTAGTTGAGTCTCAGTGATCAAGAGGGAGGTTGTACCATCGGTCCATGTTTGCAAGCAATTCAGCATCCATTTTGACGTTGATTAGTTACTGTGGATTCTCCAGTTGAAGTTGAAGGTGTCATCACGGGTACAGATAGTCAGAAGCCTGTGGGAGACAAGATATATATACTCTTATGTCAAGCTACACAGATGGTCAAAGACATATAAGCTTATGTAAAGCCTGCAGATGCAGCCCCCTCAAAAGGATTGACTTCAGCCGCACAAAGACTAGCAGTATGCTTGGCAGGTGCCTTGCCAGGCAACTACACACTGACATACATGGTTTGTGTTGTTGGATTGTGTCGTTACGTGGCTTTGTAGGCAGAAGAATAAGCAGCGTTATGAGTGGTTGATGATGGATATCATATAGTGAAACATCCAAGATAAGAAGTGTATCCGGAAAGAGGCCTCTAGTGCAATTCATTATAGTATTCACTGATGACATACTCCTCTAGAAGTAACCATAGGGCACAGAGGTTAGGGGTGATTCTCATGAGTGTCCGCCTGAAAGCGGACATTGAGTTCAAGCTGGGGGTTTGTGAAACCAAAGATGTTACTGCATGATACAATGGAAAGCGTTGTGATGGTAACCCCGGAACTAATAGTATAAGAAATGAAAGTACTAGAATATAGGACTCATGATTCTCGGTGTTTAGAGTAACATTAATTCAAATGTACGATTACATGGAGCCACGGTTTACCCTAAACATGATGGGAGAAAGATAAATTAGAGAGCCAATAACTCCAAAGGACGGGACGAGATCTTGGCACTTTCGAGTGGGAAAATATCTATTTAAAGGAATGAAACAAGAATCAGACGTCATGTCAACTTGGCTCTGATATGCCTTTTTTATTTTATTTTTTTTACTAGCGAGTGGCCTCCGTTGTCAATCGGAAGTTCGGCACCTTGGGCCACTTTAAGTTGTCGTCAGCATCGCCATTAGATTCTCATGTGATGGCAACTGACTAGCGACTTTTCCAGAATACCCAACTTCAACTAGAATCGAATAAATTTCTCTTTTGAGAAAGACTCTGTGACAGTGACACAATGCCTCAGGGAAAGCCCCGTGGTTAAGCGCTGCAGGGACCATTGCATTGCACGTCATAGCGTGCGCCAGTCAGACGCCCATGTAAACGTTTCATAGAGAGGCTTGTGGACAAAGCGCTAACTAATAATAACTACACTTACGGTGCAGTCTTACTAGATTGTATAGATGGGATGGACACCGGTAGTATTCGCATGATACCCAATACCCCGGATCTTCCGCCTTTTGCGTGTCCGCTCTATCTCCCGAACAATCTCTAAAAGTTTCTACCGGCCGCGCGTCTCCTAATTGACCCCTCAGCATTAACTTGAATCTCAAAGCACGGAGGTTATCCTGCGTTATGTCCGATGAGAGGCATCCCGACGTTTTCGAGGTGTTTCGAATATGCAAACTATGTGGTTCGTGCGGCGCCTAGAGATGATTCTGTGACAGCGTAGATCGATAAAGGGGGTAAATCGCATGACTGGATTTTCGACATGTTATACAAAATGCATGCAAATGTCACAATGAATGGCTGTTACAGATACCGAACATGTTTTCATTTCTCTCTCTTCTCGGATTGTTCCTCGCTACTTCGGCGTTTCCGTGCCGAGAGGTGGTGCTCTGACGTTGGCTTTTGAAGGTGACGTTGACACATCGCGAGAGTTTAGTACTCCCGCGCGGATGTGCGGCAAGATCCTTAGTAACATCGACCATCTATGACCCAATATCGGTACTGCAACATACTATCGAGTTCGCCTTGTGGGCGTAATCTAAGTTGGGGCGGAGTACATGGGTCAGGATATAAACACGGGGATCGATACCTCAGTTGATGAGCTCAACAGATCAACTTACAAGGTTTCGATCATGAAGTCTGTTCAACTATCCTCTGCACTGTTCTCTTTACTATCACTCACTGAAGGAATTTCTCTGAATAAGAGAGATAATGGCCTCGAGCCTCGGGTTATGAGTGTGGAGATTCAGAGGCGGACAATATCTGATCCTATCTCCAATGATCGAAAACGTCTTCGCAAGAGAGACGGGACAATAGACATCGGTATTGACAATGAGGTAGGTATCTGCCACAACAACACAAAGACACAATCATTGACATTCTCTAGCAATCTCTGTACTTCCTCAATGCATCATTAGGAACTCCACCTCAAGACTTCCGTCTTCATCTCGACACCGGAAGCAGTGATCTATGGGTCAACGCAGAAGGCTCAAAACTATGTTCTACTCACGCCAACATATGCAGCGAATCTGGCTTGTACAGCCCTAACAAGTCGTCAACTTATGAATATTTGAACAGCGACTTCAACATCTCGTATGCCGATGGCTCTGGTGCTTCCGGAGACTATGCTACCGAGACGTTCCGCATGGGGAGTGTCAAGCTTGAAGATTTACAGTTTGGTATCGGATATGTTACATCTGACAACGAAGGCGTCCTCGGTATTGGGTACAAGAGCAATGAAGCTCAGGTCGACCAACTCAACCGAGACGCTTACGATAACTTGCCGGCCAAGTTGGCTTCCAAAGGTCTCATCGCTTCTAATGCGTACAGTCTGTATCTGAACGACCTCGAGTCCGCCACTGGAACCATCCTATTTGGAGGGGTTGACCAGGAGCAATACATCGGCGATCTAGTCACTCTCCCTATCAACAAGATGAACGGCGAATTTGCCGAGTTCTCCATCACACTTCAAAGCGTCAGCGCAGACTCAGAAACTATCGTTAAAGACCTCGACCTTGGTGTTATTCTCGACTCTGGCTCAACGCTCTCATATCTCCCCGCCACACTTACATCAGATATATATGATATTGTTGGCGCTCAGTACGAGGAGGGAGAGTCTGTGGCATACGTTCCCTGCGATCTTGGAAACGATTCAGGAAACTTGACGTTCAAGTTCAAAGACCCGGCAGAGATCTCAGTACCGTTGAGTGAGCTGGTCCTTGACTTCACCGACGTTACAGGGCGCCAATTATCCTTCGACAATGGCCAAGCAGCGTGTACTTTTGGGATAGCACCCACGACAGGGGACATTTCAATCTTGGGTGATACGTTTCTCAGAAGCGCCTACGTTGTTTTCGATCTTGAGAATAACGAGATCTCACTAGCACAGAGCAACTTTGACGCTACAAAATCGCATATTCTCGAGATCGGCACCGGAAAACACCCTGTTCCTACGGCCACTGGTAGTGGTTCTTCTGATAACAAGGAGAATGCCGCTGCGTCACTTTCGCCATTAGGAGGCGATGCAGCTATTTCTATGGTTGCTGGGGCCTTTGCTCTCGGGTTTGCTTGGATGCTTATTTAACATGGTGTTAACGATGTGCATGGCTTATGAAGGTTGCTGGAGTGAAGCATCGTGATTTAGCGTCTGATTTGGCATGTTCTGGTGTTACATGGTTATTCTGTTGGGATACATTCAAGGAGTATTGGGTCAACATAGATACGCGCCAAGAGGAATGATATTCTATTGATTTCTAAGTAAATTATCTTTACTCAAACTTATCCTACATACAATTAAGCAATGGCGCTGATCTGATCTTCGTTTGCCGATTCGGCTCCGACAAGTAGCTTTCAACTACCCTTCACTCTGTTCTTGATGTATGGCATGCAAAGTTACATTACCGGAGATAAAGTTTCCATCCGGTGTATACATCATATATATATTTCCTACTGTCCCTTGTCTGAGTAAGCTCAAGCTTTGAAACCCAAGACTTGATTCTGCTGTTATTGCCATGCCCCAGTAGACATTGTACCTAAAACCTATGGCAAACGGTACAGAATGACTGCTTATATCGAACTTGCAGCTTCTTGGCTCTTCAAAAACTCCAAGGGGAGAGATGCAAAAGCCTTCTTCACCACTCCCGCATTTGCTGGACATCCAGAGCCCACCCTTACCGTTACATCTCCAGACTGTGGCTCAGATGGTGCAACACTGGGAAAAGATTACATGCACGGTGATCAGCACAAGTTTCCAGAGTTATCCTGGGACCCTCACTCTGGTGTAAAAGAGTGGTTACTTGTGTCTGAAGACCCAGATGCTCCTCTGCCAACGCCGATTTGTCATGGGTAAGTTGAGTTTTTAAATGTGGAAGAATGAAGCTAATGGTTGTAGGATTTACTTGGGATTACCTCCTGAGAAAACAAGAGTTGTTGACAGTGACTTTAAGCCTGTTGAAGAGAACTCAACTCGACTTGCGGGAGGTTTCTTTTATGGCGCGAGTCGTAACGGCTCGATTTATATTGCTCCACGACCACTTCTGAATCATGGTATTCATCGGTGTGAGTATACTTGGCTCAAGTGTAAATACATGAACTAACATGATGCAAGACTGGTATGAAGTCATTGGCCTAAATGAGCCCTTGGACGAGAAGTTCAGAACCTCCAAACCTAACAGGGATCAAGTTGCAGAGGCCATTGATGGTAAGATAGTTGTCTGGGGGAGATGGATGGGCCAGTGTGAGAGAAGATGGGAGTGAGCCAAGGTGGAGATAGTATCGATCTTATTATGTTTCTATTCTTATGCATAGTTGGTGGCTCTAATATCTAAGCCCGTCACTCATTTTATAGCTGTTGAGCAACCTCAAATTCGTCCAAAACTCCAAATGTTCAACCCAGTCTTGGTTCCCTCTTGAACGGGCAACCCAGCATGCCACGTCTCTTCGTATCCTCTGCCATCCGCCGCAAAGTTCTCCCAGTAAACTGCATTCCCCGGTACAACCTTGAAGGTCACCCCCTCACCCACATCTTCTTGCTTCTCCTCAGCACACTCAATGAACCGACACCATTCTTTCTCTGCTGGTCTCTTGATAAGGGGAAACTCAGTGCCACCGCCTTTGAGACTATCAGAACCCTCCACCCACGCCATAAGACTACTCACACGGCCCCATCCACGCGTGTTGGAGCTCCAATCGAAGTGATGGTTGTAGTGACCACCTGGACCGTACCGTTGAGTTCTCATGCGCTCGATCCAGAGGTCTGGACGCCAGCCTTGAAGAGCGCGGGCGCGAGACTCTATGCAGCGGATAGGGTCGGTTCTGGGAATGAGCGCAACGTGAGAGTCACGAACTGAAGAGTCGCGATGAGTAGCCTCGCCATTGTTGGTTATGGTTGAAGGTACAAAGATCGGTTCACTATTGAGCATTAGAATCATATCATGACACGGTACATCGACATACCTTATATCAAGCAAGTGCTTCCTCTCTTCCTCATTCAAGAAATTCTCAAGATAAATGATCAGTGGCTCTCTGCTCAAAATTCTAGCAACATAACCATCTGGAGCACATTCAGGCGCTGTCGCATTGGGCGGATCAATAGCTAGGAGCGACTCATTGAACTTGGGGCGCGGTGAGACATCGTTGATGCGGGTGGCCCGGTCTGGATACAAGAAGTCGCTGATGGGATTTGAGAACACGAGAAGAATAGCCAAAAGGCCAATCACGTATTGAAACATGGTTGAGAGCAACTCATGAGCAGTCGGTGGCTGATAGTTTGGAGGAGGATGAGAGTTGAAAGGGGACAATTGAGCTCATGATGAGTGGAGTAAAACTACAAGGGTTGAAGCTTCGGATAAGACGGGGTCACTAATGTCTGACTATAACATATTTGGACCTCGTACCGTAGAATTCAGTTTGTATGAGTATTCAATATCTTGACCATGTCGAGGCCCTTCGTTTATTTATTTCCTCTAATTGGTCCCAAAATGAGTACAAGAGTTGTGTGTCGTGATCTCCAACAATCATGGGTATATATCGTACAAAACCTCCTTCGTTCGACGCACCAGCGTACACTAAATGAATGGCCAAAACTCCAATCATATCCTAGTAATACAGATAGACTCAAACCAAGTTTCCTCATCGTTCTCAACCTCCTGCTGGCAGACCTTCAACATCCCAGCCGAGGTCGACAGCATTCAATATCCCCCAAGGATCTCCATCACCGACGGGAATAGTATTCGCCGCCATCTGTGCAAAGAGCGTTTCTTCAGTAGATTGCCATATCGGTGTAGAAATTCGTTCTTGAAATGCTCTCAAATCGATTCGGTTTTCCTCTGCACTGTTTCCGAGGCCAATATCCGGCGAGGTATGGCTACTCCCAGAGACTGTCTTCGTGTAAGAATCTTGGTTTGACCCTTGGTTAGCTGGCGAAGATGCGGCTGATGAATTTGTTCGATCCGGTAGCGAAATAGCACCTGAAGCCATGCGGGGTGAAAATGATGCTGGCCACATACCCGTTCCTCTGAATCCGGGATTCAAGTTCAAATTGAAGGGACCTCTGCTTTGCATATTGGCCATAATTTCAGATCCAGGACTTTCGTTCGTTCTCTTTCGTTTGTTGGTTTCTGGATCTGGTCGATCCGCAGGCTCAACATTTCTAGCGGCAGCCCCAAGCACAGCTGAATAACAAGTCTTCCCCAATGACATGACGCTGGCCACCTTATCCAGTCTTGACTGTTCAGCATCCATCTGTTTCTCTTGGGTAAAGTTAGAAGCAAACAAGATAGGCGACGCCCCAGTATGCTGCGCAACTGAGCTTCGAGCGACTATGGGAATGCGCGACCTGCTTGCTCCAAAAGCATTTCGATATCTCCTCAACGACGGTACTTGAATAACAGAGTCGAGCCCATTCTTTTCGATGTCAAGACATGCTTGTTGTAAGAATGTTCGTGTGATGGTGTGCACACGTGCGATAGCTTCCATAGACTGGATGATGAGTTGGAAGTTTGATAGGTCAATTGCGCTTAAGCCGGTTATCGGGTTCTCTTTGCCTAGGTATACGTACACCGTGGTGGTGCAGTACAGCGAGAGAGCGGACAATGGACTCTTCTATACACTTGTTAGCCAGGATATTGGAAACAAACAGAATGGACATACAAAGAAGAGAGTCCCATTGGCGGTCAGTCGCATGATATTAACAATCTCCTCAGCAGCCGCTCGAAGGCGAGTAACGCTACCCTGCTTGACGTGATCGGGCAGGTTATACTTGTCGGCTTTTTCAACAGCAGCATGGTGCAAACATATAATCGCGGCGTGAAGATTGAGGTTCAGGTGGAGTGCTGATACGTCTCGCACATTCTCAGGGAGACGGAATTTCTCGGGGAGAAACATGAAGAGGCTGGACAAGGTGTTGTCCAGATCACGATGTCGAGTCCAGAATGACCCATGCATTAGATCTTCGTTTCTTGTGTCGGGCTTGGATCGGTGAACATGGCGGAGAATGATTTTAAAAATTTCACAAGTAAGGATGGTTCCGGCAAACCCTGTGTACTGAGCACCTTGGATTGCCTCGTCCAGGAAAGGAGCGTCCTCTTTGCGATCTTCGACAAATGCTTCTTCGGAGGCGGGAAGCCTTGTTGCGATCTAAATTCTGATCAGCATTGCTCAGAAAAGGGGAGAATGTGTCATACGTCTTCCGAGTTGATCAGGCTCGGCCACCCTGTGGAAATACTGCAATGGGCATCTGCAGCAAACACTCCCCAAAAGATTCTCCTTCTCTCTTCCAACTCCGCCCATGTAAGAGGAGGTCCCAGTGCCGGTGGCATGCCAAGAGGATCTCCATCTAGACGGTCAAGTCCTATCATGTGGCATAGTCGAACGGAATTAGCTACGCTTATGGTCGACCTCGTGAAAAGTAGGTGTTTTGCCTCGTAAAAGGCTATGAGAGCCCAAGTTTGCGCATGTTGAACAGATATAAAAGCATCACCGTGTCCCTAAGATAGTTAATATTGAACGGCCAAGCACTTTTCAACCGCTCACCTTCATCATGTCTGCTTCAATGTACGCCCGTGATCGACGGTAAAAGATATCGTGGTACTCGTCAAACTTGGTACTGCCAGCGGCCGCCAAAGCCCATATGGCATATCGCAAACACATAGGGGGTCTTCTGAGAAGAGGGCCATAGAACGATTGAAGGTATTTTCCGGGGTGGATGATTGGTATCATTCGATATTGATTGTGAAAGAAGATATTGTTGCTATGAAGGTCAGCGTCCATCTTGGAGGTACAAATACCGTTCTTACAGTTCTTCCATGACATCGTCCGGTGGTAAAGGTTCGGTCATGCCTAGACTCATCAACTGCGCATTGAGAGACTGGGGACTCTCTTGTGGGTTTTGGGCGATGTTGGGCGATGTGAAAGACGAAAAGTCGGGATCAGGCAGATTGTTAATTGTCTGGCCTAGTCCAGGGGTAAAATCCATATCAAAGAAGTTGTCATTCGCCTTGGTTGGCTGAACAGGACTCCCATCATCTGTTTTCTCCTCTGAAGAATTCTTATTGACCTCTTTGAGATAATCTTCAACTTGAGCTGAGATATTTCATTAGCAACCTGTGGTTCATGATTACAATATGATTGTTGTATAGATACCCAGACGAGCCTCGAGTTCCTTGACGTTTCTTCTCTTGAAATTCGGCTTTCTCCGTGATTCTGGATATACACAATCATTTGAGACCTTGACACAGCGAGTGCACGCTGGTTTCGTGCGATCGCATTTCAACTTGCGGGCTCTGCAGGAAACGCATGCTAAAGGTTCAGTCTTGGCAGACTCAGGTTGGCCGGAAGGGTCGGGCTCGGTTGTGTCTGGCGGCATCTTGATGAATGAGTATGACTAGTCATTCAACCGATGATAATTCCAATTATTCTCCTTCAAAATTCCAAGTTCGCTATCGCTGCAAAGTGTCGCGCGTGGTGGATAAAGGCTCGATATGGGGCCCAGGAACCTTTGTCAGACAGATACAGGGCGAAAAGAAGTCGAATAGCAATTATCGCGTTATCCCGACGAGTGACAGAATGCGTATAGAGGCTCAATTACGAGGGTTTTCACGATGGAGAAACGTATTACAGGCATATTCACGTTGTCAAGCTTTGATGTGGTTTGCCGTTTGACAGGCCAAACGTCGGAAATCTAAACTGTCCGAAGGCCGAGAGGCTTACAATAGCCCGACAAAGGTTCTGATGAGTCAGGATACGTAAGAACTGGATCGCGAAGAGCGAAGACGCGAGCAAGATGAGACCGAGACGTAACTGCCTTAATTGTACTGTCGAGAGTTGAAGCAAAAGACGCAAAACGCATTACTAGGTAGGCATGCCTAGGTTAAGGAACCTGGACAAGTAATGTTACTGGAGGTGTGCCTTGTCATTGAGGTATCGGTAGATGTTTCGGCTCGTTTAACCTTAAGATCAAGACTCGATTAAAAATAAAAATAAAAAGAGGCTGCTCGTTCCTGCTTCGATGTGGCGCGGATAGGAGATGATTCCTTCATCCCTTGCGTATCAGCCACACCTTAAGGCACCTTCCCAAGTTATCTTGTGTCTTGATTAGGTGCCTCAGTAGGTAGTTAGGTAGTAGGTAGCGGGAAGGCAGAAGCGAGAAACATCGTATCGCTTGCCATTCAATCTCAATCTGACTAAAACGCATCTGATCAACTTCTACTACGGATCCCTTGCCAAACCAAGAACTTTCTCATCACCATCCAAGCTCCATCACTTTCACACCCACCAGAAACAAATTACTGTCCTTTTAGTACTCTACACGCTCCACTGTACCGTACAGGCACCATACAGTATGGAGCTGGTGCTCTATAGTCGCCCCGGAACACTCCAGCCGAGAAATACCTCGACTTTTCTCCGCTAAGGTTAACTGGATCTCTCCCTGTGCCCGATGAGCATGCCACTTGGGCCTTTCGGCAATCAGATCTTCAACACACGAGAGCACTCACTTGGATCTTCAACACCACCATCACCGCTACTACCCGCCCGTCGCCCAGTCCAATCAGTAGTATGGTCCTCGGACTCTTCTTCCAGGGCGGAGATCAAGGGGCAAAACTTAAAGCCCTCATGTTTAGTAAACGTTCTCGACCATAATCGTCCGAGATCAGAGATCAAAGCACCTTGCTATTCTATTATTACCGACGAGGTTCTCAGCTCTTTCTCGTCAGTCCTCATCATCGTCACCGCCGCCGCCGCCAGGGGCTTCATCCGCACCATTATACGAAAGGCGTTCGTATTTCGAGCGCTGCACAATGATAGTCTTGAATTTGACTTTTCTCAGACCAGATTGACTTCACAATTAGGCGTCAGGGCAGCATCATCCACAACCCCAGCCATTGCGCTTTTCCATGAACAACACGCTTCTTGCTCCTTCGGTGCTGCCGCGCTACAGCCGGGATGAGACGATGTCACTGGGCCATCAATGACGGTCCTATTACAGGGCTCCCGCCACTTGAAAGCAGGGGGGAACAGTGGCTGCCATCACCATCGCTGCTACTATATGCCCACTGCCTGCTCCAAGAACTAAAGTGGACACGGACTGACACGCACTAGCCATATGTATGTACACACTACGTACTGTGCGTTGCTTTGCTGTGCTCTGTTGACGGGAAACGCGGGCTTAAAATCCGAATCGTATGTCCCGTACCAGTTCCTCCCGACGTCAGCTAGTCATTCCATCAGCCAAGCTAGAACTTTGACAGGGCTTCTCGAGTTGCCTCGACAGCCGCCAGGCCCACTCTTGTGAACAGATGTGGCACTTAGCCGTCTGCTGCCGATTCGACAAGCGCTGACGATTGACAGCTAGCCTTCAACACTATCTCTGGA